AAAAGGGCCCAGGTACTTGGGCCCCTGCCACCCACATGAGAGACCCAGATGGAGGTCCAGGCTGCTGGCTTCATCCTGAGCCAGCACTGGCCATTGTGGCCATCTGGAAAGTGAAACAGAGGATGGAAGATTCTTTCTCTCTTGGTCTGTCCCTCTGTCTGTCTCTCTGCCTTAAATAAATAAAATAAATCTTTTCAAAAAAGAAAAAATGTAAATGAAAACAAAAGATTCCAATTGTGACAAAACGAAAGATTCTCTGATACTTGCCATGGAATGAATTTAAGGTCATGATCTTGTTAGGGCTGAAGAAGGTGGATATGCATCCCCCTAGCTTGCTCATGAGATAAACTACTAGAATTACCTTTTGCCTAGATATAGGAAATGGGCACTTCAGAGTAGTATTTTTCAAAAGTTTCTCTTTTTTTTACCATAATCTGCCTATCAAATATTTATTATATGTATCCTATATCTAGCTACTGCTCTAGGAGTAAGGATAAAGGGTGGGTGACCTAGGCCTTGCCCTCAAAACGTACATAGTTATTTACTAATGGATAAGACTATTTGAGGAATGCCTATAAAATGAAAACCAAAGAGGTACAGGATGGAGCCCAAGAACATCAGCATTTAAGGGATGAGCAGAAAAAAGAAGGAATCTGCAGTAACAATAAACAAGCATAGACAGAGTGGGGACTTCAGGAGGCGAAACGGCACTGGAGCTCCGGAAAGAGAGTATTTTAAGACAGAGAGAGTGAGCAACTGTGATGAATTTGCTGAGAGGTCAAGAAGGTTAAAGGCTAAAGAGGGTCCACTGTATCCACCAGCACAGAGATCACTGGGGACTTTGAGGACAGTTGGTTAGAGTAGAAGGCAGATGACAGTGTTGAGAAGTTGAGTAGGTCATAAATCATATCAACCTCTCTAAGTGAAATGTCATCTAGAGATAATAATCTGAAATGGACTGTGGCTTGGAGAACCATGACCTTGGCCTTATTAACATTTCCCATTTCAGCACTTCATCTCTATGTGTGGGTCAGTGGTTGCCATAGCATGAACAATGACTAATTCTGTAGATAAAGAGGGTGATATTATTGAACAGTGTTGTCACTGAAAGGCTGTTGTGAACTCAAGCCACTTTTTGCCAATACATGTGGAGCTATAATTGAGATCAGGATGAGGATCTTAATTTGGCCATGCCAATAAATCAGAGCTTAAAAGAAGATGAAAAATAGAATGGAGGGGCTGACGCTGTGGTGCAGCAGGTTAACACCCTGGCCTGAAGCGCCAGCATCCCATAACAAGCGCCAGTTCTATTCCAGGCTGCTCAACTTCTGACCCAGCTCTTTGCTATAGCCTGGGAAAGCAGTGGAAGATGGGCCAAGTCCTTGGGCCCCTGCACCCGCGTGGGAGACCCAGAGGAAGCTCCTGGCTCCTGACTTCGGATCGGCGCAGCTCCGGCCATTGCGACCGTCTGGGGAGTGATCCAGCAGATGGAAGACCTTTCCTCTCTGCCTCTCTTTCTCTCTGTGTAACTCTGACTTTCAAATAAATAAATAAATCTTAAAGAAAAAAAGAAAAATAGAATGGAATATTAAGTCTTCCAGGGACTATTTGCCTCTACACTCCACTCATACTTACATGGAACCCCAGATCTCAGCCCGTTTTGACATTTAGGTGACTGAATTAAACTCTCAGCTCCCTTCAATAGAGGAAATGACCCCCTCAGAAGTTCCTGAGCAAGGGGACTGTAGTTAGCTTTAGACAGCAGGGAGTTGAGTAAGGGTCCAGGAGAGACAGGTAAAATGACAAATCCAATCATCCACCCACCCAAAGCATTGATTATATTACAGACTGGGTGACAGCGCATGTGTGGTGACATCTATGAGCTTGCCTTGAAATAAGAGATCCAGAGATGCACCCAAGGAAGGGACCAAGGACACGTAGAGGATTCCCTTGTGCATCATACTGGGGTTGGCGGAAGAATGGAGAGGGGAGCGCTAAGAATACAGGGTGAACTTTGTGCCTCAGCATCCCGAGCTTGGCTGGGAGGGGTGCCCTGGCATTGCTCCCTCCAGGCGTAGGTTCCACTCTTCGGAATGCTGGGGCAGCCCTCTCACTAGGGAGGGTGGCTTCAGGAGGCAAGGCCCTTAGTAGGCACTGTCGTGTTGTGAATAGAACTTAGTGCATTTTTTGACTGAGCAGTTAGTGATGGTGGTGTTGAAAACTCTTCCTTGTCTACCAGTGTGAGTGAGTTTAACAGAATGACATCTCTCTGTTTGAGCAGATAGGAGACATTCCTGCCATGAGGCCTTCTCCTTGCTGTTGGTGTGGAGGCTGCACAAAGTTAAAGGAATTCAAGAACACCATCTGTTGGTTCACTTGCTCCCCCAGAAAGATGAGCAGCCCCACTGCCGGCTCACTGCTGAGACTTCCAGAATCTCCAGCGTGGATCAGGATATAATCCAGACAAACTGACTGTGAGACGAGTTCTTGAAGCCTTGTTTTGAGATTTATGGCAGTTTAGGTGAGCCATGGCATCATGTGGTCCAAGAGTGGGTGGGATCTCTCAGCCTCCTAGGTCCTCAGTGGGCATTGTACAACTGAGGGCAGAGCTAAGCCAGCCCCAGAAAGCTGCGATGAGACATGGCTAAAGGTTCAGAAAGAGGGAGCCCATGTTCTGTAGACAAAGGGAAATTCACACACCTCCTTAACTGCACTGCCCTCCAAAGGAGGGAGCATGGCGACTATGACACGTCAAGGGCTAAGGCTGGTTTATTGACTACCGCTTTCACTGCAAGAGCATTTCAATGAGAAGGGCTTTATAACGGCCAGCAAAGGAAGTCAAGCTCAAGCTCAGACTGTCTGATTGAAATGCTCCCTTGCTGCCATCCCAAGTGCTCTTTGGTCTGCAGCGGGGAGGAGTGAGAAGGCTGGCGCTGCTCATGATGGGAGGGAGGCCACAGAGGTTTGAGGCGGGACTGGGCCTCCTCTCTTGGGAGAAGGTTGCTGCTCTCTTTCTCTGGGGTTCACTGTTCGCCTCCTCTGACTCCTCCTCCCACTAGGCTGAGGACAGAGGGCTGGGGACCTTGCCCTCAAGGAGCTCTCCTCATCCTGGATGGCCTTGGATGAGGATTACGCTCTAGCTTTCCGGAGGACCACCCTTCTTATCCCCAGCACACGCAAAGGCATCTTTCTGTGATGCCAATGTCACTAACAATATTCAGCGTCGTGGCTTGTGGTTGTTGCTCCAAAGGGAAATTAAGTTTATTTACAAGCCAACGTTTGTGACTTTGGGGGCAGGAAGTCAGGGAGTTTCGAGGCGTTTAAAACTCATAACATGGCTATCTACAATGATCTGTGTTGAGAATTGTGAACAGAAAGTTTTACATGGTGAGTGCATGTGTATTTGCAACGCATGCATGTGTAGTGTGTACTAGTTAAAACTTTCCTAGGGAAGAATCTCACTCTTCATTAGGAAGGCTACAGACAGACTGATAATATTTTCTGAGAACTGAGGTCCATGCTGTTCATTAATTGAAGGACTAAGTAGCTAACTTGTTCCACTGGGAAGACTCACAGTTTAAATGTGTGCACATGTGTCTATATTGTTGCTGGAATTGACTTTCGACTATATTCAAGGGGTACTTTTTGGTTTTGATGTTTTTCTTTTCAGACATATACTGATTAATTGGGAATGAAGGAGTTCATTGGATTGTGGACACTTCAAGACCCTGTTTTAGGGAAGGGCACTAAGTGTTTCTAGGTCAAGGGCCAGGGAGAAAGTGCAGGTTTACAGGTTGTCCCCATACTTTCCCTTTGTTCTTTATAGCTGTCTATTCTAGTCATGTAATCTTATCTAGTTGCAAAACTTCCCCAGAGCTCAGAGTAGGCTGTTGAAAATACAGAGTTTGGGCAGTTTTGACGGACTTTTCATAAGGGGCACTTAACAGTGTTCAAGCAAAAGGGATTTCTACTATGAGGCAGTGTGGGTGTAAGGAGTCTTTGATTAGCATTTGCTCCCCACTTCCATGGCGCTCTGAAGGTGGTTCTACCTTGGTTGGTGTTTCCTCATTTCCAGGATTGGGCTCTGTCAGATGTACTTCCCAGTATCTCCTCACCTTGAGATTGAACCATATAAACATACCATATTTATAGGTCAAAAATTGTTTACTACATTCACATGTTTTTGTGGCTCAGCCTAATATTGGATAAGAATATCTTGTGAAAAGTGCTATGTGCTCTATCTTGAAATACTTTGCCCTCCTTTTCTAGTAGGCCTATAGATGAATTTAATTTTGGTATTTGATATTTTGCCTGAAACTCTGGAAAAATAACCCATTTGATGTATTTGAGACCAAGAGGTTGAGTAAAACCAAAATCTGGAAAGATTTTGGGTCTTGTGAGTGGGCTGTCATTGGCCATAAGAAGAGAGCAAATCACTTCTTGCCGCTTGGCCTCTGGTGGTCCTGGTGCCTCCTGGTCACCGCTGTTGAGGGATCAGGGGGATGCAATTCCAAGGGGCTGTGAACTTTTTGAGTCACATTTATCATTTTGTTTTATTTAAGCCTTGGCTCACAAGCAGCCCTCTGGGCAAGGCTTAGAAATGTGTGGTCAAGGGCTCTGTTATTGGCAAGCAGTCAAAGACAACAAAGGCCCCAAGATTCTGCCAAGGGTATCAATATGGCTTCTGTGCCTTATCAAAAGACCCCAAGAGTTTTTGGACATGAAATGGATGTTAGAAATAGCTTTAAGGGCAACACTTGGCAGATAGGAGTTGTAGGTCATCCCTTCCTACCCTGGCATCATGTTAATGTCATTTTCCTTCTGTGTTCTCTCTTCTGTTTTTGACTTCTGCATCCCTTTTGGCTTTATTCTCAGTGAATTCCCAATATGATTTTTTGTCCTGCTAGACCCATAGATTGGCCCACCCATCCACCCATTCATCCATTAAAAAGAATGTGTACAGGTGACAAATGACCTGAAGGCTGATGGTAGCTGCTTACCTTGGAGGAGTAGATTGCTTTTGGGTTTTGTGTTGTTGTCAGCAGGGACACATGCAGCTCCTCTGGGATATCAGTAACCGAAGGGATTTGGTACTGCTCTGGACCACGGGTGTGTAGGACTCCCTCGGGAGAGTATTTTAGTTCCTCCAGGGTGTAAAGTCCAACACCTTGAGTAAAGGCCCCTTCAATCTGAGACACAGAAAGAAACGAATCTCAATTCTTCATGCCGTGCTAAGAATTTAAGATTTATATAAGGATTATTTACTTATTTATTTGTTTATTTAATTTCTTTAAGATTTTTTAAATTTTTATTTTTATTTATTTATTTATTTATTTATTTATTTTTGACAGGCAGAGTTAGACAGAGAGAGAGAGATAGAGAGAGAAAGGTCTTCCTTCCGTTGGTTCACCTACTAAATGGCCACTACAGCTGGCTCGCTGTGCTGATCTGAAGCCAGGAGCCAGGAGCCAAGAGCCAGGAGCCTCCTTCTGGTCTCCCATGCGGGTACAAGGCCCAAGCACTTGGGCCATCCTCCACTGCCTTTCCGGGCCACAGCAGAGAGCTGGACTGGAAGAGGAGCAACCGGGACAGAACCCGGAGTGCCGGCGCTGTGGAGGATTAGCCTAGTGAGCCGCAACGCCGGCCAATTTCTTTAAGATTTAAGAAAGGGATGGAGGGAAAAAGAGAGACTGACAGACATCAGGCCAAAATCAGGAGCCAGGAGCTCCATATGGGTCTCCCGCATGGGTGACAGGCACTAAAGTACTTGAGCCATCAGCTGCTGCCTGTCTGGGCACATTAGCAGGAAGCTGGGTCAGAAGCAGGCATCCCACACAGGCTCCACTCTGTGCACAACATCTGGCCCCAGCGCTTGCTTTCTTGGACGACTTAATCCCCTAGAGTCCAGGTCCCCCCAGTTCTCCATATTAGACTTCCAGATACAAGCAGTAACTTTCCTAGGTTTCCTATTTCTAGGTTGATTTTATGAACATGCCTGGATTTGATTGTTAAAACAGATAAAACTGGGCTTCTTGTCCCTGGCACATGGGTTCCTAGCCTACAGGAGCCCCTGAGACCCATCTCCCAGCTGCTAAACCTGTGGTTTCAGAGGCAGTCCCAAGTAGCTGGCTGCTGACTAGGCATCAATGGCCTAAGGTAATTTTTTCTTTGTGTAAAAGGAAAACTAGACTCAAATTCAATTAGAATCTAAAATGATGTCTTTGGTAAATAGAATTTGGTTCAACTATAACTGAACATCGGGTTTAAAGAAATTTCTCTCCTCTGAATCTAGGAAGATCACTGCCCTTAAAAATATTGCTTTGTAACTTGCCAAACTTGTTTTACAACTTGGTTTAACAGGTTTCTGATAGCAATGGGTATCAATGCCTATTATAGCCCCCCTAAGGTGGATTTTGCAATCTCTGGTTTTAATGTCACTGATTTATACCTAGAGTTTTATAAAAAGGAGTAGAATTTAATATATATATATATATATATATGTTTTAAAGATCTATTTTATTTATTTGAAAGACAGAGTTACAGAGAGAGAGAGAGAGAGAGAGAGAGAAAGTCTTCCATCTGCTGGTTCACTCCCCAGATGGCCGCAACGGCTGTAACTGAGCTGATCCAAAGCCAGGAGCCAGGAGCTTCTTCTGGGTCTCCCATGGGGGTGCAGGGACCCAGGGACTTGGGCCATCTTCTACTGCTTTCCTAGGCCATAGCAGAGAGCTGGATTGGAAGAGGAGCAGCCTGGACTAGAACCAGTGCCCATATGGGATGTCAGCACTTCAGGCCAGGGTGTTAACCTGCTGCGCCACAGCGCCAGCCCCAGAATTTGATATAAATGTAACTTTGATCTTAATTCAGATAGAAGTATGATATCATATCAGCATCTTCAGTCATTTAGGTGTAATCACCAAACGTAAATTGGGTAAAGCAAATGAAATAAATGTATCTAAATGTAAACTTAGGTAATCTTAGTACCTTGTAGTCTATGGAAAAACTATTTGGATTTACTAACGTGTTTTCATAAATTGTCCATATGAAAATAGTTCAACACCACTTAGAAATAACTAAGCTTGCCGGCGCCGCAGCTCACTAGGCTAATCCTCCACCTTGCGGCACTGGCACACCGGGTTCTAGTCCCGGTCGGGCGCCGGATTCTGTCCCGGTTGCCCCTCTTCTAGGCCAGCTCTCTGCTGTGGCCTGGGAAGGCAGTGGAGGATGGCCCAAGTGCTTGGGCCCTGCATCCCATGGGAGACCAGGAGAAGCACCTGGCTCCTGGCTTCGGATCAGCGCGGTGCGCCGGCCGCAGCACGCTGGCCACGGCGGCCATTGGAGGGTGAACCAATGGCAAAGAAAGACCTTTCTCTCTGTCTCTCTCTCTCACTGTCCACTCTGCCTGTCAAAAAAAAAATATAATTTTCAAAAAAAAGAAATAACTAAGCTTGAAATTTGATGTGTTATCTTGTTTAGGAAATGTTGTCTTGATTTAGAGATTTCAAAATGCAAATCAAAGAAATCAGTAGATAGAAAGCAAAAGCTATTAGTCTATTTGACATAGAATTACAATCTGATCCTCTGTTAAAGCATTGAGGTTTTTGTAATGCATATATCTTAGTAAATATTCTGGAATAGTGTTAAAGATCTGTTTGAAAACTGCAGCACCTTGGGGCAGGCACTGTGGCGCAGCAGGTTAATGCCCTGGCCTGAAGTGTTGGGCACCAGTTCAAGACCCGGATGCTCAACTTACAATTCAGCTCTCTGCTATGGCCCGGGAAAGCAGTAGAGGATGGCCCAAGTCCTTGGGCCCCTGCACCCACATGGGAGACCTGGAAGAAGCTCCTGGCTCCTGGCTTACGATCGGGGCAGCTCCGGCCATTGTGGCCATCAGATGGAAGACCTCTCTCTCTCTCTCTCTGCCTCTCATCTCTCTGTGTAACTCTGACTTTCAAATAAATAAAAATAAATCTTTTAAAAAAACCTGCAGCATCTCATTTCAATAGTTTTGTTTAACTGGTGATTCTCTGTCCAGTTTTCTAGCCAGTTCCAGTAAGCTATTTTCTCTTCCCTAGTTCTGACTCTGTTAAAATTGTTCCAAGTCATATTTAAGATTGTACTTTTGATTCTTGGGATGACCAAAGACAGATTTTGTGTTCTGTTGAAGTAATCTATTGTGTTCTCTTAACGTCTCTGTTAAATTCTAATTGTTTAAAAACAGCTGAGTTTTTGTTACGAGCTATGGGTTGTCTAAATATATGCTTATTTAAAGCATTTGAGTAACTTTGTATCAATGATCAAATTTGGCCTATATCATGACATGATGTTAAGGGATCCTATTTCAATCAGGTATTTTAAGCCTTTTTTGCATCCTTGACAGGTATTAAAAAAAAATCAAAGTTCTGTCGCTCCCCCTCTTCGTGGAGGAACGACACAGGACCCTGCGCTGTTCTTTCGTCTGCTCGGCCCTCCCCGGGTTTGCTGCTGGTTCTTCCCGGGTTGGCTACTGTCCCTTCCACCTCCGTGGAAGGGCGGTTCCCCCTGGCCACTTTCCCCACTTCTGCAGGGGAGCGGCACACTGCCGGCCGGCTCTCTCGGGGGCTGCACAGGTGTTCCTCTTAGATGTTCCTCTTAGATGTTCCTGGTGCATGTTGTCTCTCTCCTCCTTTATAGTCCTCCTCCGCCAATCCCAACTCGGCTGCCCACACGCCGAGTATGCTGCTCTCCTCCAATCAGGAGCAGGATCAGCTCCTGGAGGTCATCACTCAAGTTGGCAAGAGGCAGCTGCGTAGAAGCTGTTTTCTCCTCTCCCAGCGCCATATTGTGGGAGAGCAGATGCATAGAATAAGTCTTAATTCCAGTAACTTAGTCTAGTCCGGGTTGCTCCCCACAAAGTTCCAAATTCTTGGACTTCGATATTTCCAGTTGAGTCCCCGGAAATATCAAAGGATATATCTCTCATCTTGTAGAGATACCAACTAATACAGCTATTTAGATTATATTGAAGGTCTTGTGAAGATGTGAAGTGGTGCTAAATTTTGTTATGGTCCAGCTCTTTGCTATGGTCTGGGAAAGCAATAGAAGATGGCCCAAGTCTTTGGGTCCCTGCACCTGCTAGGGAGACCTGAAAGAAGCTCCTGGCTCCTGGCTTCAGATTGGCACAGTTCCAGTCATTGCAGCCAACTGGGGAGTGAACCAGCATATGGAAGACCTCTCTCTCTCTCTTTGTATAATTCTAACTTTCAAGTAAATAAATAAATCTTTTAAAAAAATGCAAAATGCTACTGATACAAATGGCCAAAAATTAAAAAGTCTAATTATCTTGTGTTCTCTTTTTTTTATATTTATTTATTTATTTGAAAGTCAGAGTCACACACACACACACAGAGAGAAAGAGAGAGAGAGAGAGAGAGAAAGAGAGGAACCAGGAGCTTCTTCCAGGTCTCCCACATGGGTGCAGGGGCCCAAGGACTTGGACTATCTTCTGCTTTCCCAGGCCACAGCAGAGAGCTGGATCAGAAATGGGGCAGCCTGGACTCAAACTGGCACCCATATGGGATGCAGGCACTGCAGGCGGTGGCTTTACCGACTACACCACAGTGCTGGCCCCGATCTCGTGTTCTTATTAAACATGATGATTATTTTAATGAAAAAGGCCCAGAGGCCTAAAAGGGTTAAATGTTTTATAAAATCCTACAGGTGCTTTCAAAAATACCATGTGGAACAAGCAAGTGCTTATTCTTGTTGGTTAATGAGTTTATAATTTTAACATGGCTATTTGAAGCCTTTGTCATCCACAGTTTTGTATTCTCCAAACCCTAAAAATCATATTTACTGCTCATAGAAGTTAAAACATTGTTGGTTCTGTGTTTAAATGTGTCCTTTTAGGTTCCAAATGACCTCTTTCCCCTTGACTTCTACTGTGTTCAATACTTTGGGACAGTTTTGTGAACAAATACAGCCACTAATGTACTACAGGTTCCAACTTAGATTAATTCAAGTTACTAAGAACAGAAAGTAATTCTAATCTATTGATGGTAATTTTAAAAAAAGCAAAAGATTTTAGGAAACTGTTACTGAACCTGCTTTATTGTTCTATCATGTATGTTATGTTACACATGTACACATATTATATGTCTACATGGGAAATTTATTAAGAGATCTATTTTAATTGGCTTATAGATAAAAATATTGCTCAAATTCAAAATGCTAAGTTAATTGATGATATCTTTTATGGCTCGGGTGACCTAAATTTCTGTAACAGATGTTTTAAATTTGTTGGCATGTTTGTACGTGGGTTTGCTGGTCAAACAAGTTACACTTGTTTTAGATATTTAAGCAATGCTTCCAAATATGTGCACTCTTGCCTTTAATTTTATAGAAGGCATTAGACCTTCAGGAAAATCTGTTCATAAGTTGTTATTTAACAGTTAAAATTGAAAGTCTTCATTTGATATTGTTATTGTCAGTAAGCAATCTGGGAAGCCTGACTTGTTCCCTCCTTTTTCTATTCTCTTCAAGATAGGAAATATAATTCTATTCTGAAGAACTCTCGAGAATGTACAGTTTGATCTTTGGACCTTATAAAAGGGATGGCTAACACTTTTCTGTAATAATAGCATAGCCAAAATGAGAGCTTAAATTATGATTCCACAACTAGATTACTTTGCCATGGGCACAGTAAACAGGCAAAACCTCCCTTTTTTTAAAGCCAGACCAAGGGAGAGAGTTACTAATGATTTAAAATTTCATGAATAAGGTGGTCATCATTTTGACATAGCTTTCCTCATGGACATGGTCTACCTCAAAGAAAACCACTTTCAGAACATGTCTGTGACTACAGATTTCTAGTTTAGGCCACCAAAGATTAGGGTCAGAGCACCCCCTTGACTTGCATTCTCTTAAGGGTTTCCTGCATTGACGAAAACCAGGAGGAAGGGGAAGCTGGGCTGCAGAAACAATGTAAAGATGGGCGGCAGGCCAATCAGTGGGTGCTTTACCAGTGATCTGCCACCGAGGGGACCCAGCAGGCCAGTCCGCTGCAGTGGCTTTCAACGTGGAAAGCCAGGGCTTCAGCAGAAGTCAGCTTTGAAGAGCCCTGGTGAAGTAGACAGGCTAAAACCCATTAGGTTTGTGAGCTGGAAGACCACGCCCCTGTGTGATCTCACACCCTACCTGAAACCCTTGCCACACCCCCGTGTGACATCATGCTCTACCTGACCATACCTGAGCGCCCACCTGCCCACAAGCCACTCCCCTGTGAAAAATACATAAAAGGCAAGGAGCGTCCCAAAAGGCGCTCTGCCTCTGCTTTGCTGCTGGTGATAAGCGGTGGGTAGCAGCTCAAGGTGCTGGCTGCACGTGGCTTTTGGCCTGCTCTCTGCGTGGTATGGATGCGACCTTGGTTTCCAGATTTTCCCTTCTGTTTACAAGAACTAAAGCCCTCACTTTCCTATGCACCTTTCGCACTAAATAAAAGCCTAAAATGTACCATGTTGCCTTGTTAATTTATGATGGTATTTAGAATTCCTCTCTAAATATAAGGCAAGAACCCTCTCGGGCTTATTAATATTGGAGATTCATTAATAAGCATATGGTGATACCGTATGGCACCCCAAATTCCGGTAGCATATGTGGCACCCCAGATGGTGCTTCTGGGGAACTTTCAGGGGCCACATTCCTGTAGAGATTTTAGGAGGTTGTTTCTGATATCACTGGCAGCTCTGCCAGCCGAGAGTTGGGTCCCTGGAAATGGACCTGCCCTTGAGTCGAAGGGCTCTAGGTCCAAGCCACAGACCTTGCTCGCTCTAAGCTGAAAAGCCCTGCACTCAGCCCAGCTTCCAAAGTGACCACTGCTGCTGAGGGGACAGCCAAGTAGGGTCAGCAACATTGCAGGCAGAACTGTATATTAGCTAAAAATGTTTTTCGTTCTCTCTGAGCCAGCTCTGCTCCCAGGCCAGCTAGGTAATGAAAGGCAACAGGGTACCTCCCTTATGATGTACCCCATGTAAGCAGAAAGATAGGTCTGAGCCTCATGACTGGGAAGACCTTAAAGCCCACCTGATTATTTTCAAGCCTTTGTTAGTTTCTATTTGCCGCTCAGTGAAAAAAAAAAAAAAAAAAAACAAACTTGCTCATGGTTTAGACACCTTTCTTAGGGCCTCCAACAATGACTCTGTCCTCTGTTGTTTTAGATCCTGTGATTTAAAACTGTTTGTTAAATTCATTTTCTCCAGACTTGAAAAAGCAATATTCTAGGTGGCCATGCACAGGAAACCTCCCACAGAAGCAGTTCCTGCCGCTGGCACTGCATCCCCCTGGAGAAGCCACCTCCTGCTGCAACCCTGTCTTGACTCCCCTTCCCAAAGACAGCCCTTTGCAGCATGAAGCAGAGAGAGCGATCATTGCCCAGTACCCCCAACAGATGTCAGGGAACATTCATGTTAAGGAGGGATGTAAAGAATCAGATGGGTTAATAGGTAGTCAGGGTGTCCCAGTGGAATTTGGGGTGTAAAATATTTGCTTCCTTCCCCAAAAGAACATTATCTTTAGAACAAAATGTTCTCATTCCTTCAAATCTCCAAATTTATCATGAGACTAGCAAGGGAGGGGTAATTACACCTGAGCTCAGTTTATTGTGAAAACAAGTTATCTATCCCACCCTTCTGGATGGTTTTTTGTTTCATCATGAGCAAGCCAGACAGGATAAAGGATTATAAATCAGGTCCTTTGTGTTTTGTCCCTACCTGGTAACTGAATGCCAATCTGTCAAGTGTTTTTTTTTTTTTCCCTTCAAAATTGTACTTAAAAACCCCAGTGCTACAAGGTTCTTTGGGTTCTTTCCTCTCTTGGAAGCCCCCCTCCATGCTGCTCTGGCTGGAGGTCTTTGACTCTAATAAATCTAAAAATCTAAAAAAAAAAAAAAAAAAAAAAAAAAAAAAAAAGATAAAACTAATTTCAGTGGTTTGATAAGTCATTTACATTGCACTGATTTTTGAACCACATGCCCACTTGTCCTGCGGCCCTTCCTCTGGAGCAAGGTTCATTCATCCCAGAGTCATTCAACAGCAGAAGGATAACTCTCCAGCTCTCTTTCCAGTTACCTGGGTCCTTTCCAAGTTGGCGGATGGCCGCCAAAGTCACGGATCTGTCTTCTCCCAGGGGAAACTTTCTCAGTAAATTTCTTCAGCAGTGGGCTCACCTCCTAGCATCAGTCCTCCTTTTTCTGTCATCCCAAGGACTAAATTCTAATACTATCTACTGTATTTTTAATTCAATAGCAATTTAAATAGAATTTATCCTGATGAAAATGAGACTCAAGAAGAATCAATGATAGGAACTGTGAAGGTTATGTGGAAATGTACTTTCAAACATTTGCCTCGCTCCTATTTGTGATATGCTAATAGATTTGGGTAACATTTGGATGCCAATAAATGTGATTATATTACTCTTTACTGTGGAGTTAGGAACCTCACCTTTTCATCCTTGGCCCACTCCCCACCTACCCCCTGCAATCCTGACTTTGTGTTTTCTTTCAACTCCAACTTTCCCGTGGATCACTCCCAGATGGGTTTCTTTAGCTCAAGCCCTGAACTTTGAACTTGGACATGGAACTTTCTTCTTGACACTCCCCCTTGGATCTCTCACAGATGTCTTGAAGTGAACAGTACAAAGCTGAACACATGCTTGGTGCTGGAAATTTGGATCTATTCTTGATTCTCCACCTCCCCCACTACTGCTTCTTTTCAACAACCCCAGAGAGTTGCTGATTTTATCTCCTAAGTATTTCTGAACATCCGTCTTCTTCCTTCCAGTGTCCTAGTTTAAGCCTCTTGTCTCTCTTCCCTATCTGTGCTGACTTCCTAACTGGTTCTCAGGTCATCAGTTAGTGCTGTCTGTTATCTATCAGCAGATGCCACACACTCCTGAAAACATCTGTTGAAAACACAGATTCCTGGGCCCCACTTGATTCAGTGGGCCTGCCAGGGTTTTTCATCTACATCATCCATAAAAGTTGAATGAACAAATGTAACCCAAGGCATTCCCTTCACTTATTATCTGTAAGATAAAGGGAAAAAGACAAGGAATACTTTTAACTAGTAGAACGTACTATTTAGTGACACCCAGAAAACTGAAGAGTTGCTTTTCTCAACCTGTAGCTAGAACAGATAAACTAGTGTGTGATTTGTATATGAATCATTCAGATATTAATTCACTGATAACTTAGAATAAGGTGTGAACATACCTGTCCTATGTCCACAGCAGGATTTATACTGAAAGAAGCATCTATGACGATATCAGTTCTGATGTTCTGTAGATAATGAAAAACAAGCCAATGGTTAGAGTACATACCACATTTTATCAGCAATAAGATTTTTCCGTACTGAGGTTTAAAAGGTGACCAAAAAATGCTACAGAAAACTTGACTCCTGGTAAAAGTCAAACGTTCCAAATATTGCCAGTTAAAATGTATTTTATGGAATAAATAAAAATCAGAGGTTTGTACATTAAGCAATGATTGTACAGTCCTTGGCATTTAAAAATTTTTCTGGGATTTTTAAAGTTTACAAATATCTCATACTAGTCTAACTCTTGTTAAAATTGCAGATTTTCATCTTAATGTTATGCAATCATTTAAAATAATGATGGTGAAGATGATGCAATACTGTGTCAAATGGGTGTGGTAGCAGCATATCAAGTAAAAAAAAGCAGGCTAGAAAATTATATACACAGATAAGACTTTATAAACATATATATACATATATATGTATATATATACTTATGAAGGACAAAAATTGAAGTAAATAGCAAAGGACACAGAATGACCATTTAAAAATAATAGTATCATGGAAAAGTTTTAAAATATTTAACCCTCTTATGATGCAAATACATAGCAAGTTTGTCTTTAGCCTAGGTACCATTTATTACTTAGTTCTTTATAAATCATACTGCTGTAACTCCAGATGGTATCATATTGAATTCACACAAACACCCACAGAAGATGGACTTTCATACTCTTTTCCTACCCTCCAGAGCTTTGCTTCTTGTATCCTACTTATCCCTGATGATTTCTTGGTTGTTTCTTTCCGTGAGGATTTGTATTTGAGAAGCCCTTTTAGAAAAGGCCCCAGAGGAGGCCGGTGTTCTGGCACAGCAGGTGAAGCCACTGCCTGCAGTGCTGGCATCCCCCGTGAGCACCGGTTCGTGTCCCGGTTGCTCCTGTTCTGATCCAGCTCCCTGTTAATGAGCCTAGGAAAGTAGCAGAAGATGGCCCAAGTCCTTGGGCTCCTGCCATCCATGTGAGAGACCCAGATGGAGATCGAGGCACCGGGCCCAGGCCTGGCTGTTGTGGCCATTTGGGAAGTGAATCAGTGGATGGAATCTCTCTCTCTCCTCCTCCCCCTTCTCTCCCTCTCTTTCTGTCCCTATCATTCTGTAATTCTGTCTTTCAAATAAATAAATATTTTTTTTTTAAAAAAAGAACAGTTCATGAGGATGATTTCCCCTTAGCCTTTTATAGATGTTGCTCCATCATTTTCTGCCATCAGAGTTGCTGAAAAAAATCCTGGTGTCCGTCTGTTATAAATAATCTGTCTTTTTAAGTTGGTGGATTTCTAAAATATTTTCTATATTCTACCCATTACTATAATGTGTCTAGATGTGGATTTATTTTTATCAACTCCATTTAGCACTTAGTATACATTTTGACTTTTCTATCTCTGTCATTTCTACAAAATTCTCAGCTACCATCTCTCTGCTGTTCCGGTATTTTACACTTTTAAAATTTCTGTTAGCTTGTTGCCAGGCCATTTCAGTGTGTCTTGCCTATTTTCTATTTCTCTATCATATTTTTTCATCTCTTCATCTTGCTGCTCTATATTCTTAGTGAATTTTTCAGTATGGTTTTTCAATTCACTAATTCTCTTTTTAAATCAATATGGCCTCAAGTTTTCTAAGTTCATCACTACATTTTTCATTATCAGGATATAAAACTCGTTTATTATTATTTTAACCGTACATGTTTACGGGGCACAGTGTGATATTTTGATATATGTATTCAAAGTGAGATGATGAAATGAGGCTAGTTAGCAGTCTATCTTCTTAAACACTAGATTTTTTTCACTAATAACAATTATATATACTTTTAGGAGACAGTGTGACACTTCACTAAATGTGTATAATACACAGGGATCAAATCAGGGAATGAGTGCCCCCCTCGTCTTGTCATTACTTAATGTTTGGAGCCTTTGAGTACCTCTCTTCTAGTTATTCATAAAATACATAACAGATACAATGCCTGCCCTGTGCTGTCATTATCAGATATTTTATTGGCCATGTCCATGTGTTTGATTCAAGGTCACCAACTTTCATCATAGCCTCCTAGTTTTGGAAAAAATAGAAACACTTCTTTGAGAATCTTTCATTTATTTCTCTTTAAATTTTGTATCTATTATTTATTTATTTTATTTGTTTCAGTAGGGAGTGGGGAGAGAAAGAGAGAGAAACAGACAGACAGAGCAGCTCCCATCCACTGATTCATTCTTCAAAAGCCTGCAATGGAGCCAGGATCTGGGGACTCCATCTAGATCAGTCACATGGGTGGCAGAGACCCAACTACTTGAGCCATCACCCGCTGTCTCCCAGGGCATGAGCTAGTAGAAACCTAGAATCAGGAGCACAGCCAGGACTTGAACCCAAGCACTCCTATGTGGGATGCCAACACCCCAGCTGGCATCTTAGCGGCTAGGCCAAGGGCTCACCCTTTAAACTATATTTACCTTGAAGTCATTTCACTTTGCTAGACTTATCACTTTGCTAAATTCTCCCACTGGCTGTGTTTAATGGCATTTTATTTTAAAACCATTGTGGTTTTTTTTTAAAGATTATTTATTTATTTATTTATTTGACAGGTAGAGTTAAATAGTGAGAGAGACAGAGAGAAAGGTCTTCCTTCCGTTGGTTCACCCCCCAAGTGGCTGCCACGGCTGGAACTGCGCCGATCCGAAGCCAGGAGCCAGGTGCTTCCTCCTGGTCTCCCATGTGGTGCAGGGGCCCAAGCACTTGGGCCATCCTCTACTGCCTTCCCAGGCCACAGCAGAGAGCTGGACTGGAAGAGGAGCAACTGGGACTAGAACCCGGCACCCAAATGGGATGCTGGTGCCGCAGGCGGAGGATTAACCTAGTATGCCACGGCACTGGCCCCAAACCACTGTGTGTTTTTAAAATGTAGTCTGCAAGCTCATCCTCTGTGGAGATGCTGTTGACTTTGCCCCCTTTGCCACTCCGCCCTGGCAGCTTTGTGGTTGCTGTCATCTGGTTCCTTGGTTAGGAACCAGGTCTCTGTTGGCAGCTTCTGGGCATTAGGCCTTGGGGATACTGCTCCCGGCTGGGCCACTTCCTAGTTTCCAGACAGGAACTGCTGCCTTCTTCAGATCCAGGTATGTTCAGGAATCTGGGCCTCAGTCCCTGTTTTTCTCGGTGAGTAGAATCCTGACCTCCTACCGTGGAGAGGGTGGCCTTCCAAACCACTTCTTCCCCTGAAGAATTCAATTCCTGGCTGCTTGCATCTATTTTCCATCCTAGAGTGTGGTGGGCCTAAGGCTTCCTCCCACAGGATCCGTGAACTCCACTCCACAGGTGAGGAAATGAAGGGGTAAGAACATTCTATCGCTAGCCCAAGGTCACCAACAAATACCCGGCTGTTTGATACATAGGCCTGTTGATGCAGCCAAACTACAGGCTTGTGACTGCTCTGGCGCAATGGGCTGTCACCCTCCCTCTCACCCTGAGTACCTCAAGAGCAGGTGCCGTGTCGTACAGGACGTCAGTGTCTGGGAGAAAGTATTCCCAGCGCTCAGAATACAGTGCAGTGCGAGCCCAGCTAGGAGGACTTGGGATCGAGTTCCAAATTTCTATGAAGATGTTGACTTGCCAGCAGGCTCCTGTCCCTTGGGTCCCACCCGACCTACATGTTCCTGTTGTGGGCCACAGCCACTGTGCACTTCCTAGGAGGTTTTCAAAGGACGGAGTCTTTCCAGAGGAAATAAAAATTAGAAGTCTGTGGCTTTCTCTCCAGCTAGGACAGAATGACAAAGTACGCTACCCACATGGAAAGGCACTGTATCCAGCACTTAGGTAGCTCCTCCCTGCTGTGAACTAGTGAATGGTGGATGAACTGGATGTGGATTTGCCATTTGTGGTAGTTTAATGCTCACTTTGTGGAAAACCTGGAATTACTGTGATATGTGAAGAGAGTATGGCAAGTAGAGCCAGATACTCTGTTTTTGAGTCTTTACTACATCATTCACTGTCTGTAACTTTGACCTGGTCCTTTACTTGCTTTGAGCCTCTGTCTTCTCAAAGTCATCTGTAAAAAGGGAATCTTGGGTGGATGTTTGGGGTAGCAGTTAGATGACCATTTGGGACACCCACATCTTCAACTCCCAGCTCCACTTCTTAACCAGCTTCCTGCTAATGCCCATCCTGGCAGGCAGCAGACGATGGCTCAGGGTCTTGGGTCCCTGATACTTAAGTGGGAGACTTGGATTGAGTTCCAGGTTGCTGGTTTAGCTAGGGGAGTTTTATTCACCACAAGGGAAGTTAACCAGCAGATAGAAGATCTATGTCTGTCTCTCAATTGATAATTGATAAAACAAATAAATTTTTTTAAAAATAGAATTTCCATAATAAAATCTACCTCATGGAGTCATTACAGAGATTAATGAGGTAAGATACTAAAAAGGTCTTCCTTACTTTCGAAGGAACATACAAATGCTAATGTTATACATAAGCATATTTGTGGGATACAGTTGTTAGAACAATGTATTGATAGTTCTACAAATAAAACTAGACATTCACTAACTCAGTGACCATTTATAGAGCACCTGTTATGGGCCAGACGTGGACCAGGCCCTGGATAAGAACCCTAAAAAACAGCAACAAAAACAAAACTTAACAAATGGAATTATATCAGCCTCAGAAACTTCTGTACAGTAGAGGAAATGATCAATAGAGTGAAGAGACACCCAACAGAGTGGGGAAAAATACTTAGGAGCTACCTGACAGAGGATTAATATTCAGAATATATCAGCTGCTTGAATATCGCGATCACAAAAAACTGCCAGTCCAGTTAAGAAATGGGCAAAGAACCTCAGCAGACAGTTCTCAAAAGAAGAAATATAAGTGCCAGCACTGTGGTGCAGCCGGTTAAAGCCCTGGCCTGAAGCGCTGGCATCCCATATGGGCGTCGGTGCTAGTCCCAGCTGCTCCTCTTCCAAACCAGCTCTCTGCTATGGCCTGGGAAGGCAGTGGAGGATGGCCCAGGTCCTTGGGCCCCTGCACCCACATGGGAGACCAGGAAGAAGCTCCTGGCTCCTGGCTTCAGATTGGTGCAGCTCCAGCCGTTGAGGCCATCTGGGGAATGAACTAGCGGATGGAAGACCCCTCTCTCTGTCTCTACCTCTCTTTGTAACACTGTCTTTCAAATAAATAAAATAAATCTTTTTTTAAAAAAGAAGCAATAAAAATCCCAACAAGTATGTGAAAAAAGTGCTCAACTTCACTAGCCCTCAGGGAAATGCAAATCTAAACAATAACGAGACATCCCCTCACCCCTGTCAGAATGGCTAAAATCCAAAAGATGGAGAGTAACAGGTGCTGGCGAGGAAGTGGACAAAAGGGAACCCTTCTACACTGCTGGTGGGAGTGTAAGTCCATGCAGTCACTCTGGAAAACAGTGTGGAGATTTCTCTAAAAACCAGTAATGAACTTGCCATATGATCCAGCAATCCCACTTCTTTGTATATACCCAAAGACAGGAGGAATATGTTGTATCAAAGAGATACCGCTTCATTGTCTCCCTTCTACCATGTAGAATAAATACTCGGACTTAATTTTCTTCCAGAGATAGGGGGATACCTGCCTGTTTTTCAAAGTGTTTATTTACTGCTGTTACTCTTTGATTAGAATGTATTGAATAAAAAAACAAACCCCTCCCCCCCAAAAAAAAGAGATACCTGCTTCACTATGTATACACAATAGCCAAATATGGAGTCAACCAAGGTGTCCATCGTGAGCTGAATGGATAAAGAAAATTTGATATATATACAATGGAATATTAATCAACTATAAAAAAGAATGGAATTCTACCATCTGCAGCAAAAATCGATGCAACTGGAAGACATCATGTTGAGTGAAATAAGCTGGACCCAGAAAAACAAATGCTACATGTTCTCCCTTGTATGTGGGAGCTAAGAGTAAAAAACAAACACAAAAGAAGAAAGAAATGCCTGCGTGTATCAGTATTGCAAATATAGTTATGTCAAACTTTGTTTTACACTTTCGTCAAACTAATGGCTAAGAATGTTATACTACTATAGTTTAATTGTCTATGATTACTTTGAAATTTATTGCATATGGGTGAAATTGTCATTTTTCCATTTGATTATTGTTTACAGCCCTTGCCTATGTTTCCACTGAACTAGGGTCTTTTTGCTTTTTTACTTGTTGAGCCCTTTATTTAACGGCGCCTGAAGCCCTTAACAGTAATGTCAATTAAAGAAATGTTATCTCAAAAGTGAAGGGGAGGAAGGAGGAAGGGGGAGGGGGGAGGGAGGGGGAGTGGGAGACAGGGAGGAGAGGAAGGGAGGGAGGGAGAAAGGGAATATCATTCTATTCTTTGAACTGTATCTAGACAATACTGAGCCTGTAAAAAACCAACTAACTAAATAAATACAAATTTAAAAAACGCATGCTCCACACAGCTGGTAGATTGACTCATCCTCATCCAAATCATAGCCTTAATTGTGAATTTCTTCTGGTCACAATCCTCATTGGCTCCTCATCCCTGAAGAATGGAACAGGGTCTCTGATTCCTAAATCCCAGCTGCACTTTCTGGGATTCATGCTTTGCCTTCTCTGAGTGGCACCACCTGTGTTCCCTGACACCACGGACAGGTGCTTTGTCTGTGTGATAAGCCCCCATCTGGCACCTCTTCAGCTTTTTTCTGCCAGTTCAACTTATCTAGGTCATTTTCTCTGGACACTTTCCCAGACTACCTCTTTAGCTTTCTGCCCAGCTCAGGCTGAGTTAGGAAAAATACCCAGTAATGTTATCATTGATTCAAATTGTAAATGATACAAAGAAAGACATATGATGTATATTTCAAGAAAGGTTACATCATTTGAATAAATTAGGGCCAACACTATGTGAAACTACTCATTTTTCCCCATATTCTTGCTGACACCAAATGAGTATTGAATATGTATGTATAGATAGGCCATAATGATAAGTCTCAACACATTTTATTAAAAATGTATAATGTCAGTGATGTGATATTTGTCACTTACCTTATGGGCACCCGTCAGACAGTCTATTTCAACCTCAGAACAAGCAGCTCCAAAAACAAAGTAAGGAAATATGTCACCTTCTCCCTTCTCCCAGTCCATGCGAGCCTCGTAACCTCTGAGACAAGACACAGTCTGTGGTTAGGTCATGGGCTTGGAAGCGGGGTTTTCTCTAAGAAGCTTGAAATCAGAGGAATCATCTCGGCTTAAAAAAGTCCAGTGCCACATAGACAGAGTGCTATGCTTCTCCAGATTTTACTAAGTACTTAGAGCAAAGAATAAGGGACATGAACCCACCACGAGTAGAAGGATCCACTTCCTATGTGGAATTTCAACAAAGGAGGCACTACTTCTATCTATCTATCCATCCACCCACCCATCCATCCATCCATCTATCACCTATCTATCTATCATTTATTTATTTGAGAGGAGGAAGGAGGGAGGCAGGGAAGAAGGAAGAGAGAAAGAGAGAGAGAGAGAGAGAGAGTGTTTCCCATCCACTCATCCACTGATTCACTCCTCAAATGCCCATAATGGCTGGGGTGAGGTGAAGTGGGGGCCAAAACCAGGAACTGGGGACTAAATCGAGTCTCCCATGTTGGCAGGAATCCAACTACTTGAGCCATCACTGCTGACTCCAAGCCTGCATGAGCAGGAAGCTGGAGTCAGGAGCCAGACCAGGGATCAAGCCCAGGTCCCTCTATGTGGGATGTGTGCAGCCTAACCAGTGTCTTAACCACTAGGCCAAATGCTTGTCCTGGATCTATTTTTAACTAGAAAAAAAGTTAAAACATTTTTTAAATCTACTCCACCACATAAATGTATTTTTGAAAATTTCCAAACACATCTTAAATGACCACAACTGGGAAAGAACAAAAATCCAAAATATTTTTCTTTTAAACTCTTCCGTCAGTTGGTGGGCAAGTTGCTGGCATTGAGTATGTATTTTTCAGGAAGCGAGGCTAAGATAAACTGGTAACACAGTGTAAGGACAAATGTTTAGGATGAAGAGGCTTGTATCTACGTTCGGCTCTGGTAAACAAGTAACTTGTCTGCCGGATGACCTTCTCCTGCTCCTTGGGAGCCTGGCCAGTTCCCGGGGAGGAGGATAGAGGAATGTTTCTGATAAACAGGTGGGCATGCTTCGTGTCTCGGCTCTCCGGCCAAGATCCGAGAAGGGATGCACTGCTTGCCTAAAATCCTGGCAATGAGCCCCCTTTGTCCTTGTGGGCTTTAAGAGGGAGCCAGAGCAAGCCGCTGCTGCTGCTGTTCCATCCCGGGGGAGCACGCAGTCATGCTGGACGTTGAACGTGCCCGTGATGCTTAGTTCTCAGTAGGGATCCTTTTTTTTTTTTTTTCCATTTTAAACAAGAAGTTTATTTAAACAACAAGACGCTTGACTTGAAGGGAAAACTATCTAGGATTCATTTTTTTTAAGAGTAATTTACCCCTACTTAAAGACAGATTGCCCTACATGTAACAGCTATGTACAAAAAAGTTATAAAATTGTCCTTGGTTTTACAATGATAAATGAAAAACATTAAAATTCTCCAATCAAACAAGGTATGCAAGGATTTTTATGTTGTTGATTTTTTGTTGTTGTTGTTGTTGTTAAAACAGTGGGAGCAAAATAACTTACTGGAATATAAAGATAAGAGCTGAATGAGCATGCCATCATGGAGAAAGGGGGTATTTTCACAGAACCAGGATTTTTCCCCATTCCATCTCCATTTGATGTCAATCAAAACATACCATTGGCCATTTAGTTTAACAAAAAAAGGAGAGAAAGAAAAGAAAAAATGCAATATGCTTGTGCACATACACCAGTTACTTTGTGTACAATAAAGGAATGGGGAGGGGAAATGAAAGAATAGAGACTATGCTGCAGTAGTCAGGGTGTGGTGGAACCCAGTCGCAGTTTTCTGGCTGAGAATGTGTTCTTGGTCTGAAGGACAGAGCTCTGGAGTAAAGCAGCGGGTTCCCTTTTCAGTAGACACTGCCCGTCTGCTGCTGGAACACATCAATCCTCGTCCTCCATTTCCAACTGTGCAGGTGTGTCTGATTCATTGATTGGCTGCCCATCAAATCGGAATCTGATCTGCCTCATTGACAAACCCTGTCGTTCACAATAGGCTTTCACTAGTTTACTAAGTGGTGTATGCCTCTTAAACTGCACCACAGAACCATCCTGCCCTGCCACCTTCAAATTAATATGATCGTTGTTCTCAACGTTGTTCTCAGTCTTGACTCCTTCCTTGGGCTTTTCGTCGGCCATGGCGAGCGCCGGAGTCTCCTCAGCTGCCGCTTCACAAAAGAGGTACCAGGTCCACACCGAATGAGCACACGAGCAGCACCAGGAGCGGCAGAAGAAGGAGGCGGCAGCGGTGGACGAAGGAGAGCAGTAGGGATGCTTTTCCGGTGCTGGGTGTTGCCCGTGATGATTACTGATGATGTTTGGTTCTCAGTATGGATCCTTTTCCGGTGCTGTGTGAAGATTGCCTAGTGGTAAATTCCGGGGTTGAGTCCCTACTCTTAGGGACTCCCCCCAACCTTCTTTCTCTCTCTCTCTGCCCTACTCTAAAAATTTGCTACTTAAATAAACTACTTGTTTCTTTATACTACAAGGCTTGCAGAGTATTTCTTGCAGATCGAACTAAAAGTAACTAAGTCTGTGCACAGCAGACAGCTGAAAAATAATTTGCTGTCAAACACAGTTTATCAGATCCTGCACATAAACAATGGCAACTCCTCCTCTCTGATGCTATGACAGTCCAACAATGCAGACTTACATACACTCATTATACGAGGCATCATGGAGTTGAAAGGTATACAATACTGCCAAAGACGGGCACTATTTCAATATATCCAGCAGTTGAGTGGAAGTTTCAACAGAAGTCTTTTCAGCCGAGTAGACAAAGCCTTCTGCAGTGAAGAGCTTTGACTAGTGATGTTGTTTATTTCAACAGGAACATAATAGGGGGGTCCTACAAGTCTCTCTAGGCAACTTGCAAATACCAATTTCATTGTAGTCTATTCAAAAAAGACTAACTAACAAAATAAGCCAACTTCTTGAAAAACTGTGGTTAATTATACTCACCTAACACAGGTTACCATCTTAGCCACCTTTAAGAGTCCAGGGGTGTGGTTCTCAGTATGTTCACACTGTCACCACCATCTGTCTCCAGAACTTTCCCATCTCCCCCAACTGAAACTCTGCACCCACTGAACACTGAAGCCTCGTTCCTTGCTCCCCCGAGGCCCTGGCAAGCCCATTCTACTTTCTGTTTCCATGATTTTGACTGCTCTAGTGAACTCATTGAAGTGGAATCTTGCTCGGGGGCTGGCAAATATATACGATGCACAGAGTAGGCTAAGCCTCCACCTGCAGTGCCGGCACCCCATATATGCACCAAGCTCCTGGTTCCTGGCTTTGGACAGGCCCAGCTCCAGCCATTGTGGCCACTTGGGGAGTGAACGAAGCAGATGAACCTCTCTCTCTGTCTCTCCTTCTCTGTCTGTAACTCTACCTCTCAAATAAACAAAATCTTAAAAAAAAAAAAAAAAAGAAGTGGGATCTTGCAGTATTTGTCCTTTTGCAACTGCGTTCAATAACCAGCTTCTTAAAGCCATTCTTCAAAATAATCTGCTTTGTCTGAGTTCTATGTCCTTGCGTGTTTATTCCAGTGTGCACATTTAATATTCTCTCTCTCCCTCCCTCTCTCGTATTTCCTCCCATGCCCACTTCCGCCTCCGTGAAGAAAACCAATAATCCGATCTTCAACCTTGAGTTTGAAACATATTCTCTTGGTCAGAACTAATACTAATGCGGTAGAGACGAATTTCAGTCCTTTCTTCACTTTATTGTAGATTGTTGTAAAACGGGCAGACAGACAAGCTGTTGTTTTTGTCGTGTGGAGAACTCTTGCTGTTCCGCTTAACACCGCTCTGGAAAACTCTCTAATGCTAAGTGTCTCCAGGTGAATGCGCAGCAGTAGACATGATTTGCAAGTGTGATGTCCTAACACAACCACGGCTTGGGCGGGTCCATCTGGTGCTTGGCTCCAGCAGTACATGTGAACTGCATATTATATGAAATACATGAAACACACAATTTAAATTTAAAAATGCTGCAAGTATGAAAAAAAATGTTGACCTGATGCTCACCCAAAGCACACAAATCGTTAGATGTGACATTCTCTTGACCACTGCCCAATGGAAATATCTTCACAGGCCTCATCGCCACAGCTGGATGGCCAGATCTGTCCAGGCTGTTTTCACAAGTTACAGTATGAACAACAGGGTGCCTGCTCTTTTTAACTGTTTCTTAGTGACATCTTTTCTAGACATCTGGTATGTGAACAGGCATCATCTGATGTTCTCATTTGATTATACAGGTTCTCCTTTCCATCTCCTGCCCTGACTTGGGGCTGTATCTTTACAGTAACACATCATCAAAATGTCTCCTATTGGGTACGTTTTACCTGCCTATGTGATTTTGAAATGATCCTCATCTTTGGGCAATTTTCTTTCATTTTATGCCCCCACCAATGTTTTTATTATTTGCCAAAATTTTGGTGATTCTTCTTAAGATTGTTTGACAGGATCATCTGGACAAAGGAGCTCATATTAAACAATGATGATGGTATTAGAGAAATGGAAATCTTGTGAGTGAGACTTTCTTCATATTTCTATCAACTTTCCATCCTCTCTCTCTCTCTCTCTCCCTTTCTCAGACACTCTGACTCCTCTCTCTCTTTAAGATTTATTTATTTACTTGAAAGTCAAAGTTATACTGCGAGAGAAGGAAAGGCACGGGGTTGGGGGGGACAGAGGGAGAAAGAGAGGTCTTTCATACACTGGTTCATGCCCCAATTGGCTGCAATGGCTGGAGATGCACCAATCTGAAGCCAGGAGCCAGGAGCTTCTTCCGGGTCTCCCATGGGGGTGCAGGGGCCCAAAGACTTGGGCCATCTTCTACTGCTTTCCCAGGCCATAGCAGAGAGCTGGATTGGAAGTGGAGCAGCCAGGGCTCGAACCAGTGCCCACATGGGATGCTGGCAATGAAGGTGGCAGCTTTACCCATTGTGCCACAGCACTGGCCCCAGACTCCTCTTCTCTGAACTCTATCATCATCTTGTGCTAATATTCTGTGTATGCATATGTGTATATGCACACATACACTCTATGATACAGTGGATCCTTTGCTGCTCGAGGTAACTTCTGGTTCTTACTTGGCTTCCTGTGGGGCCAGCCTATGGGGGAAATGTGATGGCTGTGGACTCCCGGAATAGCCTGTCCCTTCTGTTAGGATTTTTTGCTTTGAAACTAAGGGAAGTAAAAATGTGGGGATGGCTTTCTGATGACATTTGGCTTTGCATATGACTTGACGTTCAGATAAAGAGCAGGACAGGTCACAGGTCAGCAGTAGAAGGAATTCAAGAACTACACAGAATGTTGCAAACTCACTTGAGAACTATAAAAAGCAAAGTTCAGGGAGCAATCTTCTACTGATGGTGTCCTGGGACTCCTTCTAGAGGGCTTTAAAATGTTTGAGTTGCAAGAAATATAGAAAAACAAAATGATATTTAAAGAAGAGTAAAAAGAACAATTACATTGCAGGGTAACTGGTCTTAGAAACAAAGAACAGGGGCTAGCCCTGTGGCATAGCAGGTAAAACTGCCTCCTGCAATGTCAGCATCCCATATGGGTGCTGGTTCATGTCCTGGCTGCTCCTCATCTGATCCTGCTCTCTGCTATGGCCTGGGAAAGTAGTAGATGGTCCAAGTGCTAGGGTCCCTGTACTCACGTTGGAGACCAGGAAGAAGGTCCTGGCTCCTGGCCTCAGATCAGCCCAGCTCTGGTCATTGCAGCCATTTGGGGAGTGACCAGTGAATGGAAGACCTCTCTCTCTCGCAAATAAACAAACAAATCTTAAAAAAAGGAATAACAATTTGTCCCCATCATTTTTGGAGCACTTCCTTGTGTTATGAAACAATTAGATACTCCAGGCTTCTCTTTCATTTTCCTTGCCTTAGTCCTGGAATCAGGGTAATCTAAGCAAAAAATAAATAATGATATAAATAAAATGGTTGATAAACAGAGGTAGACAAAGAGTGATGGTAAGAAATTGGCATCCATTCAATAAAATTAGCAACCATGAGTTTATACAAATAAGTAAACAGGAAGGTTTATGAGGAACAAGGAATTTAATACTCTCAAAGTATCTCCCCCAGAGCACTTACTTACACACCAGGGAAAACCACCTCACAGCAGGTGGAGAAGCCTGGAGGACATTGTCTTAATCAAGAGGATGATGAAATCCTGTGCCACCTGACAGGATGCAACGAGATGTCACTAACTGCTCTAATAGTCTGCAAAGCACACAACCTCTATCTCACCATGGGGAAACCTCAGACAAACTCAAACCGGGAGATGTTTCACAAAATAATTAGCCATGATTTTCACAAGTGTCAAGGTCATGGATATCCTGGAGAGACAGAAGGTGTGATCTCAGCTGAAAGACACTACAGTCATAGGACAACTGAACACAAAGCAAGATTCTGTGTTGGGTCTTTTTTCCATAAAGGGTTTGATTGGAACAATTGGCAAGTCTTGAGTGGTGTTGGATGATTACATGGTAGGAATGTGCCAGTGGTAACTTCTGGATTTTGATGAGTGCATTATGCAGTGTGTAGGATGAAACACTAAAGTGTTCAGGAATGATAGGGCATCTTATCAGTAATGTACTTGCAAATGATGTAAATAAGATGCTATCAGACTCATAGAATGGCGGATGTCCTAAATAGCACTCTGGCCTCAGAATCAGCCCTAAAGGCACTCGGATCTGGCTGAAAAGCCCATGAGAGTATTTCAGGCATGGAAAGCCAAGACACTCTGGCAAAAAGATCTCTGTGAGTGAGATCCCAGTGGAAAGAACAGGTCTTCAAAGAGGGAGGTGCCTTTCTCTGAAGGGAGGAGAGAACCTCCACTTTGACTATGACCTTGTCTAAACAAGATAAGAGTCGGAGAACTCAAGGGGCTTCCATAGCCTTGGAAACTCATGACTGGTGCATAGGGAGATTACTGATGCCATAAACAGGAGTGTCAATTTGTAAAGTCAACAACAGGAGTCACTGTGCACTTACTCCTCATGTAGGATCTCTGTCCTTAATGTGCTGTACACTGAGGCTTAATGCTATAACGAGTACTCAAACAGTATATTTCACTTTGTGTTTCTATGGGGGTGCAAACGATTGAAATCTTTACTTAATGTACACTAAACTGATCTTCTGTTAAAAAAAAAAAAAAAAAAAGAAATTATCAATTCCCAACTTGACTCTCACTGGGATTAAACATGACAATAGGTCTGATCTGATTTCATCATCATTTAAAAAAAATCATCTATTATTTTTCACTTTATGTTTCTGTGTGGGAACAAACTGTTGAAATCCTTACTTAAGGTATACTAAGCTGATCTTCTGTATACTAAGATAATCGAAAATGAATCTTGATGTGAATGGAAGGGGAGAGGGAGTGGGAAAGGGGAGGGTGGTGGGTGGGAGGGACGGTATGGGGGGGAAAGCCATTGTAACCCATGAGACGTACTTTGGAAATTTATATTCATTAAATAAAAGATAAAAAAAAATGCTATCAATTATATTTTAAACTTTTCTGTAAATTTGTGATTGAAAAATTTAAGAAAGAGTTAAAATTTTTGTGGTCAGTTACTGTTGAGAAGACTAACTGACTAAATAATGATCTTTTTCAGTCACCACAAGGGTTGTTAGGAGAAGGGTCTGTTAACTGCTGAGAAATTCAACTCATGGGAGATTCATGTTAGACATTGAAGTAACACCTTCACAGTACGGACTCCATTTTGGAGCACCTGAGACTCTGTCTTGAGAAAGCACCCTCTCTAGTCTGCAACTATGACCTAAAACACTCAAACAATAGCAGTCCCCTGCATCACACTTGGCAAAGCATAGAAACACCCCAGTAAGATCGCTCAAGCTTAAAAACAGATAGGCTACACCTGAGCTAATGATAAGCTAGTAATTTGTCTATGTCCTATATATGATTTAGGCCAATACCTGGATTAATGTCAAAATTATAATTGAATTTGTTAAGTTATAACTTGTATTATCAAGATTATAATTGATATTAGTTTCAAATAGGTTTTAGGTTAGCTTGACTCCAGTAACCATGTATTCCCCTCCCGGTTTCGTGGTTTTTGCCTTTATAAACCCTGTTACTTTGGGCTCTGGGGTCGAGAGTTCTTTAGGGCATGAGCCTGCTGTCCACCGCTGGCAATAAAGGACCAACAAATGTTATCAACGCGTAGTATTCCTCTGCACTCACTCAGGTACAACAACATCAGTATTCAGTTTCACTTACTTACTTCTGAAATGAGCCTTTAATGAGCCTACTCACAGAAAAAATTCATGGTAGGCACAAATACAATAATCAAATCATTAAAATAGAAGTAAAAAGAAATGAGATGAAATAAATAGTAAGAGTAGGAATTTATATATGAGAAAACTATATTAAATATACAAATTAACTTTGAGTTTCCCAGTTGCCAGGGTGAAGAAATAAAAAACAATTATTTAGTGCTTATTATATAATTTTTAAAAATCATAGCATATTACTAAGAAACAAAAATTTTCATAGCTTTTGTCTCTCTCTAAAAGAAATTTAAATTCTAAAATAAATTAGCTATAACTTTTACAGCATTTTACAAAAACTCCAGGAACTCTTTCCTCCATTAGTTATTTCTTGTATCACCTTCAAAAATTAGAAACAGGCTGTGGAATTATAGTTTTGTAAAACCATTTTTTTTTCGAGACTTTATTTGAAAGTCAGAGTTACGAGGCTGGCACTGTGGCACAGTGGGTTAACACCCTGGCCTGAAGCACTGGCATCCCATATGGGTGCCAGTTCTAGTCCTGGTTGCTCCTCTTCCGATCCAGCTCTCTGCTATGGCCTGGGAGAGTGGTGGAGGATGGCCCAAGTCCTTGGGCCCCTGCACCTGCGTGGGAGACCCGGAAGAGGCTCCTGGCTCCTGGCTTCGCATCGGCGCAGCTCCAGCCATTGCAGCCAATTGGGGAGTGAGCCAGTGGATGGAAGACCTCTCTCTCTCTCTCTCTGTGTAACTCTGACTTTCAAATAAATAGATAATTTTTTTTTTTTTGGACAGGCAGAGTTAAATGGTGAGAGAGAGAGAGAGAGAGAGAGAGAGAGAGAGAGAAAGGTCTTCCTTCTGTTGGTTCACACCTCAAATGGCCGCTACAGCTGGCGCGTTGTGCCGATCCAAAGCCAGGAACCACATGCTTCCTCCTGGTCTTCCATGCGGTTGCAGGGCCCATCCTCCACTGCCTTCCAGGGCCACAGCAGAGAGCTAGACTGGAAGAGGAGGAACCGGGACAGAATCCGGTGCTCCAAATGGGACTAGAACCCGGGTGCCGGTGCCACAGGTGGAGGATTAGCCTAGAGAGCCACGGTGCTGCCCTAAATAGATAAATCTTAAAAGAAGAAGAAGAAGAAGAAGAAGAAGAAGAAGAAGAAGAAGAAGAAGAAGAAGAAAGTCAGAATTACAGAGAGAGAGAGAGAGAGAGAGAGAGAGAGAGATCTTCCATCTTCTGGTTCACTTCCCTAATGGTGGCAACAACCAGGGCTGGGCCAAGCCAAAGCCAGGAGCCAGGAGCTTCTTCCAGGTCTTTCACATGGTTGGTGGGCCCAATTACTTGGGCATCTTCTGCTACTTTCCCAGGCCATTAGCAGGGTGCTGGAACCAAAGTGGAGCAGCCGAAACATGAACCAGCACCCATATGGGATGCCAGAATTGCAGGCAGCAGGTTTACCCACTATGCCACAATGCTGGCCCTCAAGCTAATTTTTTTAATCAAGAATTACAGTAACATAACTCAGGTATAAAGTATTTGGGTTATTTTGTTTGATCCCTAGAGAATGCTAGGGAATGAAACTAGTTGGGAACTGTGCTAAGTACGTGGGAGTCATGGTCACTCTAAGTAAGACCACCTGTTAGTCACTGGACAAAGCATAGTGCAGGGTGCAGGTGATGGGCTCCTGAGCTGAGTCTGACTCCCTCGTTATGACTGGAAGATCCAACTGTGCAGACTTGGCTTCCCTGATTCTAAAAGGGGGAAATCATAATGACTCCTCATCAGTTGTTGAGACTTAAATGGGGGCAGTTAGAATATTGTCTGGTCTATCAAAAAGACTCAAGAAATGTTCTACTTATTGCTATGTGATTGTTTTGCTATTCACTATCATTTATGATTTTTACAAAAAACAACAGTTACTAGAAACGTTGATCCTGATGATCAAGCTCTGCAGTTTTTTTTTTTTTTTTTTGACAGGCAGAGTGGACAGTGAGAGAGAGAAAGACAGAGAGAAAGCTCTTCCTTTGCCATTAGTTCACCCTCCAATGGCCGTCGTGGCTGGCGCACGCGCTGGTCCAGAGGCAGGAGCCAGGTACTTCTCCTGGTCTCCCATGCGGGAGCAGGGCCCAACCATCCTCCACTGCACTCCCGGGCCATAGCAGAGAGCTGGTCTGGAAGAGGGGCAGCCAGGACAGAATCCGGCGCCCCGACCTGGACTAGAACCCAGTGTGTCAGGGCCACAGGCGGAGGATTAGCCTATTGAGCCACGACGCTGGCCTGCAGCTTTTTTTGAATGCACCACCTACCTGTTTTGGATGTAGTTAGGAGGGTGGTGAAGCCACAAAGAAAGGACTCTTGCATCATAGGTTTGAGTCCATGCTTGGCTTCCTGCCAGCCGTGTGACCTTGGGCAAACTGCACACCTGTTGGAGTCTCAATGTCCTCATTTATGAAGAGAGGTGAGAATCCTCCACTTGAGCGGTTTGAGGAAGAGTAAATGACATAATAAAGGTAAAGGATCTGATCTTGGACTACCCCCTATATCCCATACCTTGATGCATCCTAGGGCAGGCATCACTAATCTACTTCAGCATTATTTCTAGCTGAACTCAGATCTGGCTCCAAAAGGCTTCTCAAGAGAGTCCTTCAAGCAGTTCCTTTCCCAACCAGTCAAAAATGAGCTTCATGAGTTAACTACACTCCTAATACAAAAATTTGAAGCTAGATTGAATTGCTGAGCATGTATAAGAAACAGTCTAGTGGGAAATATTTTGTTACTTCAACAACACCTGTTGCTGTAGAGTGGTGCAAGAGGCAGCCAGGTTGGAGTGGACTGAGCAGCAAGGGGCAGAGGCGGGTATTTGGCTTAGGGGTTAAGACATCACTCGGGATTCTCAAGTCCCATATTGGAGTGCCTGGGTCCCAGTCCTGGCTCCACTTCCGATTCTAGCTTCCTGCTGATATTTACCCTGGGAGGCAGCAGATGATGGCTCAAGTAATTGGGTCCTTCCCACCCACTGGAGATATGGATTAAGCTCCATGTTCCTAGCTTCAGCCTGACCCAGACCTAGCTGTTGTGGGCATTTGGGGAGTGAAACAGTAGATGGAATATCTCTGTGTCTGTCTTTCAAATAAAATGAGAATAAATAAGTTAAAAAGCTAAAGAAGTAAGGGGCAGCCAAATCAGACTTAGCTTAAAATGTGTGATGGAACTAGCAAGGAGAAGGGAGAAATCATAACTTTGTACAGGGAGGGCAGGTAGCATGAGTGAGAGAATGGTTTCCTGTGTTGTTGCTGTTTGATTTTATTCATTACTGTTGGTTTTAATAGGTCAGAGCAAATCTAGCATATTTAGAAGAGGAAGTTAATGAACCAAAGGAAAGATGCGGAGCGAGGGGATAATTGATGCGAGAAGGTCTCAGAAGAGACAGAAGGGGCAGGAATGGAAGGCAGTTAAAGGATCTTGGAAGGAAGATGGGATCCTGCAATGAGGCAGCAGGTAAGGCAGGAAGAGGCTGTGGTAATGCAGAATAAGCAGGAGTTAGGGAAGCAGAGTGTGAGCTACGAGTGGGCTGACGCTGTTGGGTTTATGGGCTCACTGCTGTCTGTCGAGCTCCTAAAGCACTATCTGCACGTGGGAAGCACTCAACAAATAGTAACTGAGGGAACAAGCATGGAAACAAGCACTGTGAGTCAGTGAGGGAAGTTGTCAAGATCTAGAATTTAGGGGCTGGCACTGTGGCATAGCAGGTAAAGCTGCCGCCTGCAGTGCTGGCTTCCCATATGGGCACCGGTTCAAGTCCCAGCTGCTCCATTTCCCATTCAGCTCTCTGCTACGGCCTGGGAAAGCAGTGGAAGATGGCCCAAGTCCTTGGGCCCCTGCACCCGCATGAGAGACCTGGAAGAAGCTCCTGGCTCCTGGCTTCAGATTGGCACAGCTCCAGCCATTGCGGCTATCTGGGGAGTGAACCAGTGGATGGAAGACCTCTCTCTCTCTCTCTCTCTCTCTTCTTTTGCTTCTCTGTAACTCTGCCTTTCAAATAAATCAATCTTTAAAAAAAGATCTAGAATTTAATGCTTTCTCTTGAATTTACTCTTGGGTTCAAGATTTCAGAGTTGCCAGGAGTCTTGGTTCCATTGAGTTTGGTATTTTCTTCAATAGCATGAAGAAAAAATAAAACAGAATGAATTACAAAAGCTCTAGAAATGAGCCATCTTACTCTCTTTCCTGAACCCTTCCATCTTCTCTGGTTGGGAATCTGCCATTCTTAACAATCTTTCAGTCTTAGCCCAAGCTTTGGAGCCATCTTGTTCTGGGGTAGAGGGAATACAAGAAACTCTACACGGACACATTATTTGCTTCTTGTTGAGTCAACCTTAAGGCTGTTCACACACCATCCTGGTAGCTTCTAGCACATCAAATGCAGTGTGTATCTGAGAAGTTACTGATTTCTCACACAACTGATCTTAGCTCTTTTCAGCTCTCAGCCCATGTTTCTGCGGCTTGTGTCTCAAGATCGCAGATCATTTTGCTAGGTGTTGGCAGGTGTAGTAATAAGGCTCTTGCTCTAATCCTTGAGTCTGGCATGCAACTGGCTGGGTACCAACAAAGATTCCATTGCATGAGTCTTTCTCCATTACTGTCCAACCTTCATCATCCAACAGGACCTTTCGAGTTCAGTATCCTTTGTTTGTTGCAGTTGGCCTGGCCTCTATTGCTTGTGGCTGCTTATCTCCCAAAAGAATTCTACACCTGTGTGCCAAGATAACTTTCCATTTATAACTTTCCATTGCTGTAGGGGAATTCATCTTAGTGAAAACGAAGCTCAGAACACATGAGTTTGCATTGAATAAACCAAGTGGCCTTGGCTTTTACTCAAGACTCACTTTCTGTTTGGGGTCCATGTGTGATTCTACCATCACTACATTGGCCTAATGGCACAGTGTTTTCCCCTTTTTTCTTATTCTGTATAAAGGAGTCTTGGGTTGATTGCCCATGACCCAGCTGAACAAAGATAGAATGTTCATATAAGACTTGGATACGTGATAGGAGATAAAAAAGAACAACAAAAGGAGATAATTTAACTCATCCTATTTAGAACTCAGCTTACTTCTTTTCAGTTATTGGGCAAATACACGGATGTTCTTGCTGGTTACAATCATTTCTACTCACCACCCAGTAGTGCCTGTGCCTTCCATGGTCTTGACATGTGAAAGCAACAGAGGCTAAACCCTCTTAGTCCCAGTTTCCCAAGTTCATGGCCAGTCTCTGGGCAACTGACACTAGAGATGGCCTCCTCATTCAAGAAAAACCTAACCTATCTCCAGATGTGAGCTCTGTCCTTCAAAACATTACCAGGCTATCGTGTTACCTTCCCCGTAAGCCTAGGAGACGTGCCCAGGTAAGCTCACATGATAAAAGTAGGGTAAGTTTTTGTGTTGTTTCCTGTGGGATGTTTGGATGAACTTGATCAATTCTCCACACTATTTGTGTGGGATGACGGGTCATTTCTGGCTTGATTCACAGCTTCTATAACCAACTCCCAAACTGACAAGAGAATAGGGCCACAAGGGGCAGGATACAAGGCACAAGATTTCTGGAGAGCAAGAAACAGTAGGAAGCACCAAATGCTACACTGTTAAAGAGTAAAACTGAAAGGCCTAAGAGCTAATCCATGATGGACAGCAGTAAAAGCTTTGACCAAATTACACTACCCTGAGCTGTCCATGATATGCACAGGACTCAATGTCAAACCTGTAAACCTGTGGCTGGTTTATGTGCACTAAGGCATAACATGTAGGAAATTGTGAGGCTTACCTCAAAATTGTCTACCTTCCTGTAGGGATAACATGGCATTTCTCTCCCTGATCAAAGTCTTTCCATAAACATGAAATAAATAAATAAAGGACTTACTATTTAGAATATAAACACTTGAGCCTGCCTTTCCATAAACTCCTTTTCTATTGTCAAAGAGGATGACTACAGGACAGCATTTTAAGACTTCTTACCTAAAATATCCGGTGGCGGAGAGACTAATGCTTTGAGCAAAAGCTTCATTAACCTACAAAGAAGGGATATTATCAAAGGATAAATAAACAACTGGAAGCAAAACACAGGGAAACAACCATTTTCTGGCTGCATACGTTTCCTTATTATTGGAAATATTATATTGCTGAGTGAAAAAGCATAGTGCAGAAGTGAGTTCTGACACAGGCACTGGCTCGTGGCTGTCTTCAACAGTCAAGTGGAAAAGTGAGGAAGAAAACAAGTATGGCAGAAGCGTAAAGGCAAGGTCCCTAGAGAACAGTCTGTGTAAGGGCTCCATCTTCCCGTCCCCTAGGTGGACAACCTGGCCGAGGGTGCAGCTACAGCTGGGTGGGATATGCACCTATATTTTTAAGGTTCAAAGGAACAAACAGAAAAAAAGGGTAACCCTGGTAGATCAGTCAACTTGCTGTCAGAGTGTATCATCCATCACTGCTTCCTGAGGCTTTCCCACGGGACATCAAAGTCACTTTCCTGCTTAATTAAACATTCACAGGGCTTGGCTACACTGCTGCTCCCTCAACCTCTTATCTGGTCTTCCATGTTCTGAAACACCAACAAAAACTACAACCCAGGGAAAACTTCTGCGTGTTCCCCCACGAACTTTTGAAAAGTGCTTGCAGAAAATAGCAAGGATTTATCACAGATACTTCCCAAAACTTGATCCCATATCTCAGCTTCTCTTGTAAGAACTTCTCGTAAACGTCTCGCTTTTGTATGTAAATAAGAACAGCGTTGGCATCGCGGAGCTCCTTTTCCAGGTGTGAGGAGGCATCCAGATGATCCAGATTTCTCTTCAGTAACATCCGGTTCCCGGTTCATCACTGCTCTTCCCATCCCTGATGCTCTTGCTGCTTGAAGCATGGTCCAGCAGCATCGGACCTGTGACTCAGAATCTGCCCTTGAACAGGACGCCCAGCGATCTCTCTGCTCTCAGTGACTGGGACACGCTGCCAGTGTAGGGGGTGGGGAGGGTGCTGGGTGGGGTGCGGCCATCATGCAACAGATGTTTCTGTTTAGTCGGCGCAAGGAGCTCATCAGGCCCCAGCTACATGTGGTACTTACCCACTGCTCCCAGGTGCCATTAGGAGTCTGGCTGATGATGGGCTGCAGGCGTTTCCGGAGAGTCTGGCAGGCACTCTGCGGGTGGGGAGAGACGGAGGGCTGATGTGACTGGAGTCTCCCCCACACCGTTCGCTATGCCTCTACATTCTCTCAGATACCTCCCATGCACTTTATCTCCACATCTGGGCCAGGATCAGGCCCTGATGCTCCGTGTGGACGTGGTGCAGAGGTGGGGCTTTGAGGATCCCGTAGGAGGCCAGACCCCACTGCCCCGGCTCAGTCAAGGTGACTCTGCTTGTATTTCCTTATGTGTTTGAAGTTCCACTTAACCTTTACAGACCACTTGCAGGCCCATGAAAACCTCTGCCAGGACAGTGAAGACAAGAGCTCCTCCAGGTCAGCCCAGAGAAAGTCGGGGTGGTGTGGAGAGAAACGGAGTTGGCACACCTGGGATTGCATGGTTTGGCTTCTTCTCAGCATTTGAGTGACTTTCACTTTCTACACTTCGGAGACCTCATTTGTGACTCAGAGATACCTGCACCAGGTGACCTCACAGCTCAGTCCAGAACAATCCCCACCTACACTTGTTGTCCTTGAATTAATATAAGTGGCTCCATTTGCTCTCCAATGTATCTTGGTCTGTATGAAATGGTCAACTCAACTAATACCTACCTGGGAAGGTTGTTTTTTGTGTTTTTTAAAGATTTATTTTATTTATTCTTTTTTTTTATTTGACAGGTAGAGTTATAGACAGAGAGAGAAAGAGACAGAGAGAAAGGTCTTCCTTTCATTGGTTCACTTCCCAAATGGCCGCTATGGCCGGCGCTGAGCCAATCCAAAGCCAGGAGCAAGGTGCTTCCTCCTGGTCTCCTCTGTGGGTGCAGGAGCCCAAGCACTTGGGCCATCCTCCACTGCCCTCCCGGGCCACAGCAGAGAGCTGGACTGGAAGAGAAGCAACCGGGACTAGAATCCGGCGCCCATATGGGATGCAGGAGCAACCAGGACTAGAACACAGTGCCCATATAGGATGCCGGTGCCACAGGCGGAGGATTAACCAGGTGAGCCATGGCGCCAGCCCCTGTGTTATTTATTCCAAAGGCAGACTTAGAGAGAGAGAGAGAGAGAGAGAGAGGGAGAGAGAAAGAGAGAGATCTTCCATTTGCTGGTTCACTCCCCAAATGGCTGCTGCAACAGCTGGGGCTGGGCAAGGCCAAAACCAGGAGCCAGGAGCTTCCTCTGGGTCTCCCACATGGATTCAGAGGCCCAAGAACTTGAGCCATTTTCTGCTGCTTTCCCAGGCACATTAGCTGAGAGCTGGATCAGAAGTGGAGCATCCGGGGCTCAAGCAGGCACCCATATAGGATGTTGACATTGCAGGCAGTGGCTCCAAAGGTTGTTTTAAATGTTAATATTTGGTAACTACAGAACTATTATCTCAGTTACTCAACTCTACAAGTACATGTGAAAGCTTTGTGCAAAAAATGCTTGGAACTGGAGTGGCCACAGGGTTACTGCCAGTGAGTGAGTTATTCTTGGCTTTGGTGTTCAGATTCAACTGACCAGAGCAGGGACATCTCCACCTATCCCCTTTTCGGGTACCAGAACCCTGCCCTCAACAAGTCTGTCCTGCTAGGAGGGCAGTTTGGGGTCATCTCTGTTCTCCCGTCAGGAGGTCTTTAATGTTAGAATTTGTTATCACTTTGCTCTACTAGCATTTTGGAAGTGAAACGGCACGGGTATAGGAGTGGTGCCAATCTATCCTCAAAGCCTCCAGAGACAACTGCCTTGCTCTTTAACAGAAGAGTGAAGCTGAGCCCCTACTCCTAGCGCCTTTGCTTTATCAGGCCCAGTACCTCTTCCTTAGCTTGCAGTTCCTCTATGAAGATGAACTTACTAACTTAAGGGACTGACACAAGACCAAAGCCAGGACTGAGACCCTGATTCAAAAAGGCTCAAACTGCTCTTATAATTAACATAGCCGATATATATCAACGCTCGCCTCTATTCTGAGGGCTTTTCAGGAGCTCGTAGGCCCTGGTCAAACAGAGTCATACCCAATCCACCCTGAGACCCAGACAGATGGGAGCCCACCTTTGCCGCTCCATGGCGACCAGTGCTGGCCCCCCTCACTGAAGAATCAGGAAAGCTTCTGGATACTGGCCCACACTTGAACTCATCAGACACTGCTCAACCCCAACTTTGAACTGTAGGATTCACTTCCTTTAACCCCTCACAGAGTGCAGGGTTTGAGCATTAGCTGCCTGGCTCCTTGCTTTGTGCCTTATAATAAACACCTACTTTTCCTCGCCACCCTGGGTCTGTGATTGGTTTGCTATGAGACAGATGAGTGGACTCTGTTGGGGTTTCTATAGCAACTCCTCCAACTGGATTTGGAGTTTTCAGCAACAAATTAGTGAGCACACAGGCTCAAGTGGATGTGTTGGGCATGGCACACCAAGGTACTGACCAGTAGGCACCTGCAGAGCTGTCTGGCAGTTGCCCGGCTCTTTCAGACTCCAGCGCAGACTCCCAGTGGCTGACTGCTGACCAGGAGTCATCGGTCTAAGGCACTTTCTGCACAAAAGACACTAGGCTTGGGATTTGGCGCTGTGTTTTTCCTTTGGTAGCAAGCTGTGCATGACGGTGTGCTAATGTGGACTTTAATTTTATAGCTATAGGAGACCCCTTCCTCTAAAGGATTGCTTTGTAACTCAACAAACTCATTCTGTAACTTGGCTGAATTTCTGAGTCATGTCAAAAGGCAATGCTGCCTCCCTCCCTGCCTCTCTGGTCAGCCTTTACGTCTGAGTCTTTCATGAGCCCCCTGGCTTCTGCGGGTCTCAGGTTCGCAGTGGCTGTGTCATGCTGTATTCTGTACTTCCAACAACGCTTCAGGAAGAGGCGTCATGTCTGCCTGTGTGAAGTAAGCCTCTTGGAGTGGTGTTCATCAAATGTATTACTTTTTCTTTACACATTTTAGTAAAAATTATGCTGCTAAACAATACCACAGTGCCCAGTATTTCGGGTGGGACAGAGGAACAACAGGAGGTGGTGTGTACCCTCTTACATCTGGCGCTCATGGGAAAAAGCATGAGAATTTTAGTGGAAGAGAAAAGGACTTTGCAGTGTGAAAGGAGGGTGAGAGTTAGTAAAATCATCACCTGTACAGCTTTTCCATTGACATCTGCACCAGCGGAGGCTGCGGTGGTAATTGTGTTGGGCACTGTCACGGTATTCATCTCGCCGATGTGTATGTAGGACATTGGTACCTTTAGCTCACGGCTGGCCACCTGCCCCGAAAAACAAGCAGACAGAATGTGCCCATCAAGGGTGCAACTGGAACAATAATTCAAATCTATTAGAAACTCTTTTTAAAAAGTGATAGGAGATTTCATAATCTATGGTTTGGGCAGACATACTCAAACCAAAGCTTATAAAAAATCTCAAAACTCATTAAAATGTTAAGTGCTTCTCTGCACCCCAAGTTTGCCAAGAGCCAAGGGTCAGGAAAAGTCTCCTAATGACACACAGCAGGGATTTAAAGCAGGTTTTTATGGAGAGAGGTGAATCTTGGAAACAGAGATCCTCACTCACAGAGAAGTCCACTGGACCTGCAGCCAGGGTCCACATTCCAGAGGAAGGACCCCCAACCCTATATGAGGTTCCTTTTATCAAGTAAGCATGGTATGTGGACTTGCTAATGGGAGCATGGACAGGTTGTATGACACCAGGAAGTCTGCATTTGGCTGCTAATTACATACAGGAAATGCTGGCTGCCCAGCACCTGAGCTTTGGAGCCCATGAAAGGGTGTAGCCACTTCAGTCAAGGGTTAAGAGCTGCTGGTCCCTTGGGAAGTTGAGTTTAGGTGAAGCTCCAGCGACCAGGGAAGGGAAGTGAAACCCTCTTTCTAAGTTCTAGTTGGTTCATTTCCAGGTCATCGGAATGTGCTCCGAGGGACATTTGTGGGCGTCCGGTCACTGCATCACAGAACTCAACAGTGATACCCTACAGACTCTGGGAATATTTCACAAAGCCTAATTTTGGCTGATGGCAAAAGTGAAACAACCTCTCTCACCTGTATCATTTTGGTGTTAATACCTTGACCCAATTCAACTCCACCATGAGCAACCAACACAGATCCATCTGTGTAGATGTGGACCAGAGCAGCAGCCTGGAAATAAAATGAGAAATCCGTTCTTCCTGGCATCTGTACAGGAATCTCTGACAGCGAGGCAGTCATTAATGAAGTGCCAGAAGCCACTGAAATAAAGCCACAGTTTCACTGATACTGGACCAATGTTTTCATCAAAAGGTATGTGCCACGCAAGAATAGCAAAGGTGCCATTCCTTGGAAACCGCGAGTAAAGCAAAGCCTGAATTCATATTTTCTCGCTAGAATTGAGTCGGGAGCTGTCGCATGGTCCTTTACCATTGATGCTAACGAGTCACGCTTCGAATGCCTGCTGGGCTGCTCCTTTCTGAGAAGGGTAAGGTTGAATTCAGCAAGCAGAGTTCCTCACTGCCTCTCCTCTACAAGGAATGACGAATGGAGCCAACGGTTAACAACCAGGTAGAACCAGATCTCATTTTTCTTTGTTGGGCTACAGACTCTTTGCCCTTAGATGTCGTTTGGGGATTGACACTCCATCCTAATGAACTCTTTCCCTTCATTCCTCGGAGCATATTACTCTCAATTGCTTCTGGGGAGTGAAAAGCATGCAGAGAATCATGGAATAAAACACAGCAAAATATGAAAAAACCAAAATCTCATTTGTCCATAATCTCATTGCTCACACGTGCTGTGTTATTATCAGAATAACTGAATAGCACAAAAATAACCCATGTAACACGAACCCCCTCCCCTGGGGATGTGGGCCGAAAAGTAACATTTCATCAAAAGCTGTCTTTCAGGCCCAGAGAGAGGAAGCAGGTAGCTTCAACCCACCAGATTCTAACTAGAACCACATGACCACAGCCAGGACAACAGAGCCTGTGCAAATGTCCAAGAATTGACTGAGCATTAATTTTTCCTAATTTTAATGCTAAGTTCTTCCCCCTGGGAGGAGTTTAAGCCTAAATACCCTAACGAGTGGTGTCTAAGCATGTTTCCAAATTGTGCTTGCATGAGCTTGTGCCCACCCCTACATGTGTTGACAAGAATGCGCTTTCTTGCATATTTGTTTCCCCTAAGATAAAAGACACCTGCTTCCCTTTGCTTGGAGAACCAAAGCTTTGGAAAGGATTCCCCACGGTCTCCTGATTTGCTGCAAATGACTTTGTGCGACAACTACTGGTGACGGAGGTTTTCATTTCTACTCACCAAGAAGCAGACCCACAACATGGAGGGGTAACATTAATGGAAATCCCTGATTCCTCCCCTGTAATTCTGGATCTCAGGCCTTGCTTGGTGGGGAAACTTGACCTGACCTCACCCAAGGAAATGAGATTCCGGGAAAAAGTATATTTTCACAATTTTCTTTGAAAGGAGATGTGCTAAGCAGCTATCCATATGATCAGGTGTAAATGATGCTCTGAGTCCCCTTGTCCCATAGGGGTTCTCAGTAGTGTCTCAGATCACTAAATGGGGAACAAATGGAGATTTCCAGAATCTTGTTAAATTCCTCATTCCACACATTTTAACAGATGGGAACAATTTATGATCTGAGATTATCGTCTCTCAAGAGCATTGTCTTGAGCAAGCAGAATCCTAGTCATGGAAGTTTTGAGGGGGCTGGACAGAATGTTCTAGAAGATAGGGTGTGACTAAAAGGTGGATCAGAGTTAGACAACTTTGGACATGTTAAAATTAGCTTGAATTTTAAAATGCTAAACTAGTTATTGTCTTCCCTGAGCTTAGGAGTTGCTGGCAACCACAATTTTGGGTGTGGTGAAACATCTAAAAGAAATCTCTGTTTACAAAGTAAAGACTGTGTTTCCAGATCATCCAGAGAAAAACGCAAGCAGAGCAATGGAATTGCTGAAGCAAGCACATGACCCAGTTTGGAGCAAGTTAAGCACTGGGGTTGCTCTCTCTCCGGGGCCTCCCACAGGAAGCATAGGACCAAGTCAAATCTCATTTCTCAGGCAAGGAAGCCCTGGGCATTCAGTGTAAGAACGTTTAGATATTTTCATCTGTTCCAATAGTCTTTGAATGTAATCCTTCAAAACTCAATTATTTGAGAAAAGAAAGGTCCTTTAAAAACCCAGCTAACACTGCCTTTTAGGGATCTGTCTTTGCTTGATTTCTATAGAACTAATCTTGAAAGACTCATTCTTAGCTTATCTGCCTGTTTCCATACTCTCAAGATGAACTATATTTTTGGGAAAATCTACAGACAGTATCAGTGAATCACAGGCAGAAATGTTGGTGTCTTCTCTGTAGATTTTCAATGGGTCTTTTTAGGAAGGACCACACAACCAGAGATTATTTTTCTAGAACGTGTAGAGCAATTTCAAAGAAATTGCAGCAGAAGATACAATACCCACAAAAATTGTTTCATCTTTTCATTCCTGAAACAGTGTGTTCACCCATCACCCATTACCCATCACCCATCACCCATCATCCATCATCCATCACCCATCATCCATCATCCATCACCCATCATCCATCCATCCATCCTGTCATCAGGCATTTAAGCCTGGTACTTAGCAGGTGAATAGACAGATGAGTAAGAAGGGTTTAGCTTGACCCCTAGAGCGAGGAGCCTGAAAGTGAAATCCACAGCAGTGTGACTGTGATGAGTTAAAAATCAAGAGTGAGTGGCAGAGGGTAGATATTACAGTTCAGAGAACCTTCCAGAAATTATGGCTAAGGGTTACACAAAAGCATGCCAACAAATATTCAAGGGGACTGTGACTTGAGGCGGTCCTCAGAACAATCTGTGAATGAGACCAGTGGTGTTCTAAACATTGGTTTCCCTTGTAGACCTTCTTTGTGATCAGCAATTGTTCACCAACTGATAGCACCATAGCTCCTAGAGCAAAAGAAACACAGCTGCCAAACCAGCACCCAAACCCCTGGAGTTCCTAAGCTATTTCCTAAGCATTAGAATCAATAGATATTTTATTATGAGACCCTCAGAAAAGAAGTTTCAGACTTACAAGCACCTCTGAAAATTACCTGATAATAAAAAGTCTTTGGAAATCCAACGGAGAATTTCATGGGGATAATGGCTATTCCTCGCTTCTTCCAATAGTTCTGCTCGTTAAATTCCTCTATAGCTTTTCTCCTGCTGCAGTATGAAGAATTTTCCATACATTTCTCCCAGCATCTTATCAGATTCTCTGGATTGAATTCTTGCTTGTGGATTGTCCTATCAACTGTCCTGTACATGTTCAACTCTCTAACCTGGTGGATGAAAATGTCCAACATTATAACAAGATCCACAGGCAGTGAGGTCATCATAGAGATTAGCTGTCAAAGGTCACAGAATCAGCATGAAAGAATACATTGAAAATAAGTTGAGCTGGCGCTGCAGCTCAATAGGCTAATCCTCTGCCTGCGGCACCAGCAACCCGGGTTCTAGTCCCGGTCGGGGTGCCGGATTCTGTCCCGGTTGCCCCTCTTCCAGGCCAGCTCTCTGCTGTGGCCCGGGAGTGCAGTGGAGGATGGCCCAAGTGCTTGGGCCCTGCACCCACATGGGAGACCAGGAGAAGCACCTGGCTCCTGGCTTCGGATCAGTGCGATGCGCCAGCTGCAGCGCGCCAGCCACAGTGGCCATTGGAGGGTGAACCAACGGCAAAGGAAGACCTTTCTCTCTGTCTCTCTCTCACTGTCCACTCTGCCTGTCAAAACAAACAAACAAGGAAAATAAGTTGAGCATTTAAGGGACAGTGTGATTTTTTAACAGATTTATTTTTTTATTTATTTGAAAGGTAGAATTACAGGAAGAGGGAGAGGGAGAGGTAGAGAGAGAGGGAGAGGGAGAGAGAGCGGGAGAGAGGGAGAGATCTTCCATTCTCTAGTTCACTCCCCAAGTGGCCCAATGGCCAGGGATGGGCCAGGCCAGAGCCAGGAGCCAGGAGCTTCTTCTGGGTCTCCCACATGGGCCATCCTCCCCTGCTTTCCCAGGCCATTCACAGGGAGTTGGAACAGAAGGTGGAGCAGCTGGATCTTGAACCGGCTCCCATACCTGCTACCCCACAATGCTGGTCCCAGAACAACACGAGTTTGGGAACTGAACGACTGCCCTTTTATCCACATAAAGACCTTGTTTTGAGGATCATGCCTTGTTACCTTTTCTGGCGGCAGATGGCATTTGGCTGCCACAGCTGACATCCAGGTCTCTGTTACAAAGGCTCCCTGGGGAAACCCGAACCCCCGGAAGGCCGTATTGGACGGCAAGTTGGTCTTGCAGGCTCGGCCTTGGACACGCAGGTTGGGGATCTTATAAGCATTTTCCAGTTTGAGCAAAGCATATTCTATTACCTGAAAGTGTTCCAAGGTGAACAGTGCATTAAAATTAGGAAATCTGGATTGACACCCTGTTAAGGGGGCACTAATCAAATTCCCTGTCCAGGCAGGAGAAATGCCAACCTTTCCGGATGCATGGAGTCTCCGGGCCACCACACAGAGGGGATCTCACAAGGTCCCCAACTATATACTTGAGTGGCCATCTACTTAATATTAAATTACATACATTTTACTTCTATAAATGCCCACATTTATATGGAGAGATAAAAGGTATTTCTACAAGTTAAACCAATTTATGTTCTGTCTTTGGTAGAAATGGAAACAACTTAAAGTTAGCTTTTTTTTTTTAACTTTTATTTAATGAATATAAATTTCCAAAGTACGGCTTATGGATTACAATGGCTTCCCCCCCATAACGTCCCTCCCACCCGCAACCCTCCCCTCTCCCATTCCCTCTCCCCTTCCATTCACATGAGGATTCATTTTCGATTCTCTTTATATACAGAAGATCAGTTTAGCATACATTAAGTAAAGATTTCAACAGTTTGCTCCCACACAGAAACATAAAGTGAAAAACAATAGATGATTTTTTAAATGATGATGAAATCAGATAAGACCTATTGTCATGTTTAATCCCAGTGAGAGTCAAGTTGGGAATTGATAATTTCTTCTTCTTCTTTTTTTTTTTTTTTACAGAAGATCAGTTTAGTATACATTAAGTAAAGATTTCAACAGTTTGCACCCCCATAGAAACACAAAGTGAAATATACTGTTTGAGTACTCGTTATAGCATTAAGTCTCAATGTACAACACATTAAGGACAGAGATCCTACATGAGGAGTAAGTGCACAGTGACTCCTGTTGTTGACTTTACAAATTGACACTCCTGTTTATGGCATCAGTAATCTCCCTATGCACCAGTCATGAGTTTCCAAGGCTATGGAAGCCCCTTGAGTTCTCCGACTCTTATCTTGTTCAGACAAGGTCATAGTCAAAGTGGAGGTTCTCTCCTCCCTTCAGAGAAAGGTACCTCCTTCTTTGAAGACCTGTTCTTTCCATTGGGATCTCACTCACAGAGATCTTTCATTTAGGGTTTGTTTTTTTTTTTTTTTTTTTTTTTTGCCAGAGTGTCTTGGCTTTCCATGCCTGAAATACTCTCATGGGCTTTTCAGCCAGATCAGAATGCCTTTAGGGCTGATTCTGAGGCCAGAGTGCTGTTTAGGACATCTGCCATTCTATGAGTCTGCTGAGTATCTCGCTTCCCATGTTGGATCACTCTCCCCTTTATTTATCTATCTGTAGTATAGCAGGTACTAGACTTGTTTATGTGCTCCCTTTGACTCCTAGAACTTTCATTATGATCAATTGTGAATTGAAATTGATCACTTGGACTAGTGAGATGGCATTGGTACATGCCACCTTGATAGGATTAAATTGGAGTCCCCTGGTATGTTTCTAACTCTACCATTTGGGGCAAGTCAGCCTGAGCATGTCCCAAATTGTACATCTCTTCCCTCTCTTATTCCCACTCTTATGTTTAACAGGGATCACATTTCAGTTAAATTTCAACACTTAAGAATAACTTTGTCTGTTCTACTTAATATGACTGGTTTAATTCTGTAATTAATACACAGTTAAAGTTAGCTTTTTAAACACAGGGGTACAGATAACTCTTTCATATGCTGATTTCATTTCCTTTGGGTAAATTCCCAGAAGTGGGATTGTTGGGTCATATGGTAGGTCTATTTTCAGATTTCTGAGAGTTGTTTGCACCTCCGTGTTTATTGCAGCTCAAATCACAATAGCTAATATATGGAATTAACCCAGATGTCTATCGGTTGATGATTGGATAAAGAAAATGTGGTATATATACACTATGGAATACTACTCAACCATAAAAAAGAATGAAATCCTGTCCTTTGCAACAAAATGGATGCAACTGGAAACCCTTATACTTAGTGAAATAAGCCAGTCCCCAAAAAACAGATACCATATGTTTTCCCTAATCTGTGATAACTAGTTGAGTATAAAAGATGTAATGCATATGAGCGACATTGACATTTTGAGATTTGATGATTGTTCACAGCCTTTGTCTCTACTGTTGAGGAACAATGTTTTCTGGTTACCATTTATTGACTTTTTTACTTAGTTTAGGGTTGATCTTATGAGTACCAAATAAACTGAAAGTAGATCATCATAAAAATTAAAGGAAAGAATAAGAAAGGAAGGAAGAAGGAGGGCAGGAGCCTGGGTGGGAAGAGGGTAGGGTGGGAAGAAGTATCACTATGCGCCTAAATCTGTATCTATGAAGTACATGGAATTTGATCACCTTCAAAAAAGTTAGCTTTTTAAAAAATTCCCTGAGTAGTTTGAACATTCACACATTTTTCTTCTTTAGGTTAGAAATTTCAATTTCTTTAAAATTTCCTGGGATGTTTTCCATTGTTTTCCATACTTAAAACATGAAAACTCCCAAAGTTTTTGACAGTGACCTAATCAAATTATGGTCAGCCCTTTGTATCCATGGGTTCAACCACCCTGAACTGAAAATATTTGAGAAACGGGTGTCTGCACTGAGCATGTAGAGACCTCTTTGATCATTATTCCCTAAACAACACAGTGTAAGAATTCCATACATGGCATTTGTGTTGTGTTAGGTGTGATAAGTAGCCAGAGATGATTTAAAGGATGCAGGACACCCATGGGTTACAGGCAAATCCTACAGCATTTTAGACAAAGGGCTTGAGCACCTGCAGCTCTTGGTCTCTCCATAGGGCCTCCAATCATTCCCTGTGGATGCTGAGGGACGACTGTGCTGTGGCACTGATGGCATGGGGGGCTCTCCTGAATTACCACACCTGCCTCCTCGGGGAATCAGAATGGAAAGAACGGATCTGCGGGAGAGTACAGTCATCCCCAGCTCTCTGTGGAGTTGGGCCAAACAAGCATTGCTGGATCTCAGGGCAGCCTCTCCTCCTCCACAGCACTCTGGTACATGCAAGTATTTGTACTTGGAGACCATCTGTTCTGAGAATTAAACGTGGTACCTCTGGGGACCAGCACTGGGGCACAGTGGGTAGAGCTGCTGCCTGCAACGCCAGAGCACCAGTTTGAGTTCTTTGCTTCTGATACAGCTCCCTGCTATCGTGCCAAGGGAAGTCAGCAGAAGATGGCCCAACTACTTGGGTTCTTGCCACCCACGTGGGAGACCCAGATGGAGTTCCAGGCTCCTGGCTGCAACCTGGCCCAGCTCTAACTGTTGTGACCATTTGGAGATTACACCAGCATATGGGAGAAATCTCTATTTCTCACGCTGCCTTTCAAATAAATACATGAATCTTAAAAAAAAAAAAAAACAATGATGGTTGGCTGGCACTGTGGCATAGTGGGTTGGGCTGCCGCCTGCAGTGCTGGCATCCCATATGGATGTTGGCTTGAGACTCGGCTGCTCCACTTCTGATTCAGCTCTCTGTTATGGCCTGGGAAAGCAGTGGAAGATGGCTCAAGTCCTTGGGCCCCTGCACCCGCATGGGAGACCTGGAAGAAGCTCCTGGCTCCTGGCTTCAGATCGGTGCAGCTCCGGCCATTGCGGCCAATTGGGGAGTGAACCAGCGGGTGGAAGACCTCTCTCTCTCTGCCTCTTCTTTTCTCTGTGTAACTCTGACTTTCAAATAAAGAAAATAAATTAAAAAAAAAAAAACAATGATTGCTTTACATGTCGTGAAGCTACAGAAGGGTGGGCTGTGAAGACCCCACACATAAGTGGAGTGGGGTGTGTTGTTCAATGCTAGGGCTCCTTGGGAAGCCAAGTGAACAGGTGGGGCTTCCCCAGTGAGATGAGCAGGTAGAGACAAGACACATCCCGAGCTGAGCTTTCAGAGGAGGCAGAAACACTAGGGTAGAACAAGGAAAAGCCAAATAGGCCAGTGACAGCCTCACACCTGGCATCAAGGGGATATTCTGTGAGCAAAAGGGGCTGTGAGAGGGACCCATGTGGTTTGGGAGCAGGAGGCTTTGCAGGAGCAGCTGGGCCTGGGTAGGCTTACAGAAGCAGCCCTGAGAGGGAGATGCTGACATGTGTGTGGGGAAGAGGTTTCCCTTGGTGTGAGAAGAGGAAAGATTTGCCTTGGGCAGGCCCAAACCTCTGCCCTCCTTCCAATTGCCAAGTGTGTCTGTCACTGACCACTCCTGGCCTTGCCTAGGGTGAGGATACTGGGAAAGGAGAAGAGATGATTAGCTCCACTCTGTGCGAGTCTTCTGGGCTGCAGCCTGAGGTATCCATCAAACATGCATGTCCTGCCTTGAAGACAGCAAATGGAAATGTTTCTCCTGGACAAAGCTCTCAGAGCTGCAGAGTGAGCCAGGGGCTCCATGGCTGCCACACAGCCTGACGGTGGTACAGACCTGGAAGCCATCTGGGTCACCCTTGCTCGCAACCCACATTCCATGCCAGGTAGACATGGGTTGGTGGACATCAACTAAGAAAGCCTGTACTCTAAGAAACCAAACTCACAGTTAATCTCTCATCATGAGTCACTGGAACCCCAGATAGTTTTGTGAGTCACATACCAGTTCAGAGTCATCTGGTGTGCAGCCTCCGTTGATATGATATTCAATGTCTGCTGCCTCGATTTTCCCGTTGTTCATGAAGCCAATCTGTGAACAGCAAACATTTACTTCTATGAGCACATGAAGTGTGCGTACTGCATGCTGGCCATTTGGAGAGTAGGAGTGAGAGTTCCTTCCATTCCTGATACGTGTGGGCTGGGGCGGGGCGGGGGGCGGGGGTCAGTCTGCCTGGGTTCAAACTCTGGGTCCATCATTCACCAGCCAAGTAACCTTGGGCCACCCAACTCACCTTCAGGAGCTCCATGTTTAACAATGGGGACAAAACTATTACCCAGCCCCATGTTCTCAAAATTTCACATCCATCAAAGTCACTTACGGGGCTTGCTAAGACTGGGCGCCACCACAGGATTTCTGATCCAGTGAGCTTGGGCCTGGGGGTGTACATTTCCGGCAAATTCTCAGGTGATGCTGGTGCCCTGGTTCAGGGACCATGCTTTGAGAACCAGTGACTAACTCCCAGGGTCACTGTCATCCTCAAAAGAGCATTCCCATAGAGTCACGTGTTGCAAGCAATTAAACAGTTCAATTAACATAGCTACTTACTCTTGCTGTGGTTGATACTGTCTCATGATTATCAATGAGAAAAGCATGCATGAGCAATCTACCTTTTCTAATTAATAGCTAATGAGGATTTGCTAGCTACCAAGGCTTCCTTGGCAAGGGCAGCACGCAGCGCTCCATCTTCTGAAGTCAGGGCATCATGTGCCAGGACTCCTCTTTGGCTGCTAGCCATGTGCCACCAGTTCACTCTGACGTCGTCACTAACTCGCTTCTCAGATGTAACTGCTGCATCCCCAGAACGTCAAGTGCCATGCATCAGATTTCTTTGTGTCTCCCATAACTCTTAGTGCAATATCTCAGTGTTTGTTGGGCTCAGTAAATTCCAGTCTTTGGAGTTGGAGGGAACACTAGGAGTCACTTGCTCCAAACTTCCAGTGCAGGGCTTCCTGCTGGAGCCTATATCCAGGCACCCAACAACCCCTAGAAATTCAGAAGCAGGAGCTATGGCTGAGGCTCAGGAGTCTGCATTTTAACCAGCATCTCTGGTCCCTACAGCAGAAATACCATCTTGTTCAGTGCTTCTCATTCATTAGTAAGTTGTGAAATCAACGGATTCAGATGGAACCAGCATGCTTAGAGGGATAAATAGGAGGGAAGGGAAGGGGAGAAAGGAGGAATAAAGAAGAGGGAAGTGGAAAGAAGGATAAAAAAAAAAAGAAGATTAAAGGGGAATTAAAAAGAGGAGAGACAAGTATTAGTTTATCATATTTAGCAAATATGTAAGTGTTGTTCTGTGTGAGCTAGTTTCTGTGTGATGGAGGGAGGAAGAGAAGGAGGGGAGAGGGAAAGGGGGAGAGAGACAGAGGAGAAGAGAGAGAGGGAGGGAGAAGGAGAGAGAGAGAGGGAGGGAGAGGGAGAGAGAGAGAGGGATCAAGGGAGGGAGGGAGGGAGAGATCTGAGTCCTCCCTTTGATGTGTCTTACAGGTGCAGTGAAGCAGTGTGAAAGCTGATCTGGATCCCTTCGTGCCGCCAGCAGGAGCAGCATCTGGGAGGCAGCTGTCCAGCATGGCCAGCTCCCATGGGGGATGCACATCTGTCTCACTCTTGTATTCCCTTTTCTTTCTGGCTATGCCTTCCAGCTGAGGAGTAAACGGCTCTCTCTTTCCACAATTCTTCAGAAATTTGAGGAGGGGCAATTCCTGGGTGGGCTGGGCTGGGGTCTGGGCTTCCTAGTCCTGAAGACGGCTTTGCAGCTAGGGTCAGTGTCAGGGAGCTCTGATGTGGTCGTAGCAGCTGTTGGGGAGGGAAGAAGAAAGGGAGAGAACCCTGCGTCCAGCGACCCCAGGTATGGGCTGCAGGGGAGGAGCAGGAGTGAGAAAGGAGAAGGAATAAGGAATGATGGATCACTTCAAGGAGGAGCTTGTCTGACCTCTTTTTGCCTGACTACACACCTCCTCCACAGATGGCTACCTGCTGTGTACTTCCTTATGGCACGCATTTGTTGGGCACCTCATTTGTGCTAGGTTCTAGGGAAATGGAAATACAGAGATAGGACCCCCTCTCTCCCACCACTACTGCCGCTCCAAGAAGCCAGAAGTCCCGCAGGAAAATGGGGTTGATACCGGTCAGTTCATTCTTGGTGAGATGCTCAAGGTTAGAAGTCTGCACCCGGTATCTGGGAAGTAAAGAGTTGGACAGCACCTGGCACTCCAGAAGCACTTGGTAACTATGATGCCAAACCAATGAGCTCTGTAGCACACTCAGGGTCAGCCGGGGTGGGAGGAGGGAGGTCTTCTGGAAGACTCGATGGCTGAGCAGGGATTTCTAGTCCACAGTGGAGTGAGAAATGAAGAAACCAAAGGTCTTGTCTTATGGGCTGAAAAGCCCGAGTTTTTGTGTCTGAGTTTTGTGACGCTTATTTTACCCTTTATTTAATAGCAATAAATTCTGTTCCCTTCTAAGCGGTTGGAAGAGTGCCCTTCAGCAAGTTGGAAGCCTTTGTGTAGCTGGATTATGAATGCATGGGATGAACCAAGCTTTGACAAGTGTCAGCCCAAATCCTACGCATCTGGATTCCAGAGGCCCTCAGACACTGCAAGGGCAGCAGGTGCCAGCGCTTCTGCTCCCACTTTTGCCTTGCTCTGAGCCTCTCTCCCATTCCCCACGTCACGATTCCTACTCCTTTTACGTGCCCTGACTCAAGTGTCACAGAGTGCAGTGCTGAGGCTCGGTAGGAAGGGACAGCAGTCAGCTGGGGAGGGCGAGCCCCGGGCTCTGTGGGTACTTGAGACTGCTGGTCAGTGACTCCTGGGTGTGCGCTGCCTGCATTGACTTGCCCCTCCACTCACCTTGTATTTCCCCAGTAATGGGTGGCGTCCTCCAGTGATCAACATGTCGTCCCCACGCTCGAGAACAAAACGCACTGGGCAGCCAGTCCTGGAGAGAGGAAATAGAATCACATTTTTAAATGATTTGCGATTTTAGGTTCAGGTGTTGGGAATGTTCTAGAATCATCATCAACCCCTTGACTACACAAATAAGAGACAAAGAGTAGAACTGCTCCCAAGGGGAGGAGGTTAGGTAGAAGACTAGGAATTACTTGCTTTTTCATGATAAACGGGGCAACTAGGCAACTATTTGCATGTTTAACAAGTTCCTTTTCTGTTGATCTGCCTTAGGCCTCATAATAAAGTGACTTTTTTGTGATTGCTTTTGTGTATAACCCTCAGTTTTTAAGAGTGGTCAACAGCTGTTCATTGGATTTACTCTAAGTAGTTAGGAAATTATGTCAGAGATCTCTGTTTCCTTCATTATTAGCTTTCATGAGCAGACTCTTCTCTTGTTAATGGTGTCAATGAACAGTTCATGAACTGTCCCGCAGGTTCAGCTCTGAGCCTTAATTTCTTACATGCTTCATATAAATACTAATTCATCTTCAAGCCCTGCTATTTAGTTCTTCTCCCACATTTCTAGGATTCCAGACGTTCTCCTGCCTGAGCCAGACGGTTGGGGTTGTTGGAATCTGAAGCCTTCTTTGGCCATTACCACCTCCAGCCTGCCCCAGAAGAGCAGCAGAGGCCACCTTCTAAGGAAACATCACTTGATCATGACACCCACACACAAAACCCATGACAGCCTCCCTTCAGCATCTTGAGAGTTACCTTACCTTGCTCTTCTTCCAATACCCCACTTAAGATGACCTCCTTTAGGAAAGTCCTGGAATCACAATCTACTGGGAATTTGGTCTGGACCACTAAAATACAACAGATGCTTCATGCCTTTGCAATTATTTTCTTTTCTAGAACACAATGTGTTGTGTGTGTGTTATGTGTGTGTGTACATGTATGTGCTAAGGTGCTGGGTTACCTGAGAACATCTGGTCTGTTCAGTGAGGCAGAATTTATGATTTGCTCCCTCCAGCACCATTTCAGAAGTCTTACTAACTGTGTGCATGAGTAATGGTTATACATTCCTTTAAAAAGTCATCTATTTCTGTGCACAGGCACATGTTACATAATTGAAAAGGTTCAAATGGGTATTTGAAGGAGAGCATCTTTCTCCATCTCCTGTCTGCTAGCCATATAGCTCTTCCAGGAAGCACAGCAGTTTCTCGAGTAGCCTTATAAATACATTACTTGCTAATGTGCTATGAGGTGGCCTCTTCCTTAACAAAGAGTGAGCTAGCCAAGGCAAGGTCTTAGTGTCCTGTTTGGTTCTTGTGGGGAGCAGCCCGGACTGGACTGAGTTACTGGAATTAAGACTTATTCTATGCATCTGCTCTCCCACAATATGGCGCTGGGAGAGAAGTAAACAGCTTCCGCACAGCTGCCTCCAGTTCAGCTAATAAACTGTAGGACTTGCTCCTGATTGGAGGAGAGCAGCGTACTCGGCGTGTGGGCAGCCGAGTTAGGATTGGCGGAGGAGGACTATAAAGGAGGAGAGAGACGGCATGCACCAGGAACATCTAAGGGGGAGCATCTAGCTGAAGGAACACCCGTGCAGCCCCCGAGCGAGCCGGCCGGCGGTGTGCCGCTCCCCTGCGGAAGTGGGGAATGTGGCCGGGGGAACTGCCCTTCCACGGAGGTGGAAGGGATAGTAGCCAACCCGGGAAGAACCAGCAGCAAACCCGGGGAGGGCCGAGCAGACGAAAGAACAGCGCAGGGTCTTGTGTTGCTCCTCCACGAAGAGGGGGAGCGACAGTTCTACCAATGTAGACGATGGAGTTCTGCTCCTGTCCATAAATACTGTGGAGTGATCAAATCGCCTGCTCCACTTACTCTTTTTTCTTTGTTGTAGAGCAATAGGAAGGATTTTAGGCTGAAATTACAGAGAGGGCAGTGAAGTAGAATCCATGCACCACTGCTGATTCGGGTTGAAAGTTCCAGGGGAAGCGTGCCCAACTCTGGGCCGTTTGGCAATGGCCCTCATTAGTTAGGCCTGGATGGGGACAGCAGGCCCTTGGCTTTGGACTTCAAGTATCTTTTGAGAAATCTCATGTAGGATCGGAGGGCGGAGGACCCACGCCTCACACTCACTTGTTTGCCGCCACAGCTGCCACTGCTGCCAGGAGCCCAGGCTTGCTCGATTTCCCTCCGAAAGCCCCGCCGACCCTTCTCACGTGGCAGTTGATCCTGTTCTTTGGAATGCCCAAGGCACAAGCCACCATTTCCTGCAAGTGAACCATGGATCGGTTACAGGCCCCGAAACACACATGGCACACAAGAGCTTCAAAAAAGAAATGTATTCTCAGCTTCCCCAGAGCCCAGAATAAAAATACATGCATTTATCTGTTTTGGAGGAGAGACTAGAGGAATTCATTTCTTCACGTATTCTGGGAGAGAGGCTGGAGAAAAACCTGCAAAGCCCAAGGTGAAGGGACGAATTGGCATTGCATTTCAAAATGTGTCCGTTGTAGATCAGATGACAAAACACAACCACAGTGATCACACTGAGCTGCTCACAGCACCTGTTCCCCAAAGAGGCTCCTACCTGTTAGAGCCCACCACCAATACCTCGGCTAAGTGAGCAGGCAGGAAGGGCAGTTAGAGGGAGCTACACACCACCCAGAGGGAAACCAGCACAATGATCCTGCATCAGGCAGGCAGAGCTGCTCAGCCGTCTGCAGCACATCAAGATAAGCTTGGGCCTGCAGCTAACCCAGGGAAGGCGCTGGTGTGTAAGCAGCCGGGCCAGAGGGAAGCTGGTAATGACCCCTGACTGCAGCAGGTGAGAAGCAGTGATGGTAAACTCTGCAGGAGCGGGTGGGAGGACGTTTAAAGAAAGACAACTCCCTAGGAGCTGATGTCGAGGTGCAGTGGGTAAAGCTGCGGCCTGGGATGCTACCATCCCATGTGGGTGCCAGTTCATGTCCTGGATGCTCCACTTCCAATTCAGCTCCCTGCTAGTGTGCCTGGGAGTCCATTCATGTGGGAACCTAGATGGAGTTCTGGCTTTGGCCTGGCCCAGCCCTGACTGCTGCAGCCATCTGGGGAGTGAACCAGCAGGTGGAAGACCAATCTCTCCCTCTCTCTCTCTCTCTCTCTGTCTTTCTAAATAAATAAATAAAATTCTTGAGGCAATTCCCATTGTTGACATAGGTGACATGTATCTGTTCAGTCAAGGATCCATGGTTAAGTCAGATATCAAAGTCAATCAGGGAATATTTCCTCCTGCCTCGCTGGGTGGACCGTGGCCCTGTCACAGAATGTTACAACCTGCTCACACTTGGAATGGAGAAGGAGAAAGTAGAGCCGAGGGGTGCTTCATGGGACGCCATGGCTGTAGCAGGAAGTAAGGGTGAACCCTTAGGAGTGCTTCTTGGTGATTGGGCACTTGGTACACAGATAAGATACAGCTTAGGATGTTCACATCCCAGAGTGCCTGAGTCTGAATACTGACTCCATTCCTGATTCCAGCGTCATGCTAATGCGCATCCTGGGAGGGAGCAGGTGACGGCACAAGTACTTGGGTCCCTGCTACCCATGTGGGAAACCTGGCTGGAATTCCAGGCTCCGGGCTTCAGCTTGGCCCAGGCCCAACTGTTGTAGGCATTTGGGGAGTGAACCAGCAGATGGAAGATCTCTGTCTCTGTCTCCCTGGCTTTCAAATAAAATGAAAATGAGTTAAAACAACAACAACAACAATAAGAGGAATGTCATTTGGCTTTCTGTCTACTTACAGGTATATATATAGATAAGGTCATCCTTGAAGGTCAAAACAAAATAAAAAAACTAATTTAAAAAAGATGATTATTAGAGCTTTGGCTTATTGATTTTGAAGTGTCCATGGCCAAATGAAATATCTCAGATGCAAGAGTTGGATCTTCAGAGGAAAGACCAGGGCTATCGATTTTAGTGGCTAATTCTCAGCACGTACAGGGCAGGGAAAGATGAGGCAACGGTAGGAGGCAGATCTCTGGGTCTCCCTTGGAGGAGAGCTGCCAAGAGAATACCCATGTGGGACTTGGCCCAACCAAGAAATCAGGCTTGGCTGTGCTAACCTGTTTAGACTTGGGGGAAGTTTTTCCAGCTGATAGTGTTGCTTATACAGGACATTTTAATCTTGGGAGAAAGACACATATTTTTATTCGACTTTCAATGTGGTGTAGGTTCACCAAAGAACAATAAGTCCAGGCAGAGATGGAGGAGCCCACGGGGGAATTACAGAAGGAGCAAAAAGGACAAGCAGAATTATGAGTGTAGCATCAGACAAACCAAGGGAGTGTGAATTTCAAGGACCACATGGTCTGCAGGGTGGAAGGCAGCAGGAGCTTCCAGAAAAGACAGAAAAAAATCTCTTGGATTTGAGATCTAGTAGGCTTCTTGGTTGAAGAACTGAATTAAAGCATAAATGGGAAGTAAGGAAGTAGAGTGTAGGCAATGGTTATAATGGGGCTGTGCTGTGGTGTAGCGGGTTAAGCCACGGCCTACAGTGCAGGCATCCCATATGGGTGCTGGTTTGAGTTCTGGCTGTTTCACTCCCAATCCAGCTCCCTACTAGAAGCCTGGGAAAGCAGAAGAAGATGGCCCAAGTCCTTGGGCCTCTACACCCGTGTGGGAGACCCAGAGAAAGCTGCTGGCTCCTGGCTTCAGATCAGCACAGCTCCAGCCATTGTGGCCATTTGGGGAGTGAACCAGTGGATGGAAGACCTCCCTCTCTCTCTCTCTCTCTCTCTCTCTCTCTCTGTCTTTCTCTCTCTCTGCCTTTCAGATAAAATAAATAAATCTTTAAAAAAAAGTGGGGAAAAAACCAGTCTCAGAAGGGAAGGAGACAGAAGCAACAGGTGCAGGAGAAGCACAGTGAAGGAAGGGTCTTGAAGAAGGCTGAGTTCACAGCCGGCTCAGAGTGGTGCAGTGACGAGACAACGTCAAGGGTGTAGGACTGAGCAGGAACAATGAGGGGTGGCAAGGTGGGCCTCGGGTGCAGGTGCAGGTGTAAGTGTTGATCAGCACGGGAGGGAGAGACTGAATGAGGCAGGAGTAGGGAGGGAAGATGGTGATGGGGCCATTCACACCGACGGGCTTGGTTTTTGAACAAATGAAGTAGGAGGCAATCATCATGAGAGGTAGGGAGTGGATTCTTGTAGAAGACCGGAGGAAACATGAAAATCAGGGCTGAGCCTTTCCTCTATGCTGATGTTCAACCATTGGCTAAAGATGACCTCACTGTCTGGGTTCCACCACTAAACGTCAGGAAAATGACAGCACTCCATTTGCAAGCACCATGACTGTGACACAGAAAGTCCTGATGGGAAAAGGGCCCACCTGTGTAAAGGCTGCATCCTGGCTTGACACGTAGACGTCCATCTCTGCATCCTCCGCCTTTGGCACCACGCGCACACTTTGCGTCTCCAGGTAGAAATGCTCCTGTCCTCCAAAGTGTACTTCCCCTTTAAACACAGCAGCAGGTGAGGCTCTTGTTTTCAGAGACACTCCATTGGAATATTTGAAAAAGCATGCAGCACATTTTACTACATTGTCATATTATTTTCTTCCAGCTCATGGGAATAACATCGAGTTCCTGCCTTGATTTCAAAGGATCATTTTTATAGGCTGCCAAATTCCCACGGACAGCTGTTATTATATACAAGATAACTGACAACGAAATGCAATTTAAAAAGCTCCCAGGCTTTAGGCTCTCTTTCCCTACCTGTCCACTTTGGTGTGTTCTCAAGAGCTGGAAACCATTATTGACTTGAGCAACAACAGCCATCAAGTGAGAGTAAAGACTGAGCTCGTCTTACCGGAGGGCGAATCCATTTCTGTAATGACACTGCCTGGGGCAGGGCTGATTTTATGCAACACACAGAAACTTGCATTGCAACAGTGACACCCAATCAGCCATTTGTTTTTTTAATCTATTTGCTAAAAAGATTAACCACAAATCTCCCACTCAGCACCCATTGAGCTGAGATTTCATTGAAAACCACAGGGACCTCAATGGTGCAGACTAATGGGTGTATGTGAGAGCAAGGGTGTGGGAAAGGAGGGGAGAATGAAAATATATACTTTCTCCCCAAAATTTCAGTCATGTAGGAAGTAAAAATTTCAGAAACCCATGACTAATCAGTTTTAAAAATAAAGTTTGCTTGCACACAGGAAGCAGATGGTGGTGTTGAGAGGTGTGGCAAAGCACTTAATGATCAACCTATGAATATAATTGCAAATTGACTTGGTTTTCAGAAATGTCTTTGGGTAGCCCTTGAACTCATATTCAGGATGTAAACCTTGAGATCATTAGGTTTGTCCAGTTATAGTTCTCTAGAAGATAGAAGTCTGGGAATTTAATACTAACTCCAAGTGAACATGTTGCTGAAGATTTTGTCATGGCCCCTTTCAAATATATAAAATAGATACTTTTAAGAAGACTGCAGAAAAATGAAATTAAAAGATGTTTATTTTGGTGCAAATTTTTTTTAAAAAATACAGTTTTCTCATAGTATGCATTTTATGAGCTTTTTGAAGACTTCTTATATTTATGGATTTCAAAATGTTTCTGCACCAACTTAAGATTATCTTTTAATTCTATTTCCCATGAACTTGTTGAAGCCACCAAGTTTGTTAAATGGATTTTTTTAGATGTCATTCTCCCCTTCGGTGACTTTGTTGACTCTGATAGTTTCTCTCATGGGACCCCACATCTTCAACCACAGAATTCCTTATTTATTTATTTATTTATTTATTTATTTATTTGACAGATAGAGCTATAGACAGTGAGAGAGAGAGACAGAGAGAAAGGTCTTCCTTCCGTTGGTTCACCCCCCAAATGGCACCTATGGCCAGCGTTGCACAGATCTGAAGCCAGGAGCCAGGTGCTTCTCCCTGGTCTCCCACGAGGGTGCAGGGGCCCAAGCACTTGGGCCATCCTCCACTGCCCTCCCGCGCAGAATTCCTTTCTAACTGCCTCTGGCCAGTGCCCTGTGTATGTCTGCTGGCCTCTTGGACCTCACATCAAACATCTCTTCCTACGTAAGGGCTGTTTATGTTTTCTTCGTGGGCTCTGTGTGCTTGCATTCTTTGCCACTTTTCTATTTTCTATCCAAACTGCACTGCCAGGTGCACTGAAGAGCTGCTCCACGGAATCAGTATAATTTGGGGGAAATCAAGGCCCTTCACAAACTTTCCCCTCCTCTCTGAATCTGATGTTCTGGACTGTTCATCTCTTTACTAAGTTCCATGAGAATTAAGATGCATCAGCTTCACCCAAGTTCTACAGAAGTGTCGTCTTGATCCAAGCAGCATTCATGTATTAAAAAGCCCCATGATAAAAAGGGATTCATGAATTTACCTTCAATGATTTGATCAACAGCTTGAAATGCCTTCTCAACATCTCCTTGTTCTAGTTTCTTTTCAGGACCAATGAATGATTTGTGTTTTATTGCATCCTGTGGGAAGTAACAAATACAAAATATTACCCATGTTGCCCAATTCAATATTTTAAAAATTTTTTAAAAATTTATTTATCCACTTGAAAGTCAGAGTTACACAGAGAGAGGAGAGGCAGAGAGAGAGAGATTGGTTTTCCACCTGCTGGTTCACTCCCCAGATGGCCACAATGGCCGGAAGCAGTGCCCATATGGGATGCTGGCACTGCAGATGGCGGCTTTACCCGCCACGCCACAGCACCAGCCCCTGCCCAGTTCAATATTTTTGACGTTGATCACCTCCATAACCCTCACACTGAAAACCGTATTTGGTGTTTACTATCAATCCCAGAATCCCCTAGGGCAGCACAGATTTCTTTTTTTTTTTTATCTTTTATTTAATGAATATAAATTTCCAAAGTACGACTCATGTGTTACAATGGCTTCCCCCCCCATACCGTCCCTCCCACCCACAACCCTCCCCTTTCCCACTCCCTCTCCCCTTCCATTCACATCAAGATTCATTTTCGATTATCTTAATATACAGAAGATCAGTTTAGTGTACATTAAGTAAAGATTTCAATCGTTTGCACCCCCATAGAAACACAAAGTGAAATATACTGTTTGAGTACTCGTTATAGCATTAAGCCTCAGTGTACAGCACGTTAAGGACAGAGATCCTACATGAGGAGTAAGTGCACAGTGACTCCTGTTGTTGACTTTACAAATTGACACTCCTGTTTATGGCATCAGTAATCTCCCTATGCACCAGTCATGAGTTTCCAAGGCTATGGAAGCCCCTTGAGTTCTCCGACTCTTATCTTATTTAGACAAGGTCATAGTCAAAGTGGATGTTCTCTCCTCCCTTCAGAGAAAGGCACCTCCCTCTTTGAAGACCTGTTCTTTCCACTGGGATCTCACTCACAGAGATCTTTTTGCCAGAGTGTCTTGGCTTTCCATGCCTGAAATACTCTCATGGGCTTTTCAGCCAGATCCGAGTGCCTTTAGGGCTGATTCTGAGGCCAGAGTGCTATTTAGGACATCCGCCATTCTATGAGTCTGCTGAGTATCTCACTTCCCATGTTGGATCACTCTCCCCTTTATTTATTCTATCGGTTGGTGTTAGCAGATACTAGACTTGTTTATGTGCTCCCTTTGACTCTTAGTCCTTTCATTATGATCAATTGTGAACTGAAATTGATCACTTGGAATAGCGAGATGGCATTGGCACATGCCACCTTGATGGGATTGAATTGGAATCCCCTGGTATGTTTCCAACTCTACCAATTGGGGCAAGTCAGCCCGAGCATGCCCCAAATTATACATCTCTTCCCTCTCTTATTCCCACTCTTATGTTTAACAGGGATCACATTTCAGTTAATTTTCAACACTTAAGAATAACTGTGTGATAATTACAGAATTAAACCAGTCATATTAAGTAGAACAGACAAAAAAAAATACTATGAGGGATAATGTATTAAGTTGTCCATTAGCAGTCAGGGCTATGCTGATCAAGTCACCATTTCTCATAGTGTCCATTTCACTTCAGGAGGTTTCTTTTTTGGTGTTCAGTCAGTTGTCACCGATCAGGGAGAACATATGGTATTTGTCCCTTTGGGACTGGCTTACTTCACTCAGCATAATGTGTTCCAGATTCCTCCATTTTGTTGCAAATGACTGGATTTCGTTGTTTCTTACTGCGGTATAGTATTCTAAAGAGTACATATCCCATAATTTCTTTATCCAGTCTACCGTTGATGGGCATTTAGGTTGGTTCCAGGTCTTAGCTATTGTGAATTGAGCTGCAATAAACATTAGGGTGCAGACCGCTTTTTTGTTTGCCAATTTAAATTCCTTTGGGTAAATTCCAAGGAGTGGGATGGTTGGGTCGAACGGTAGGGTTATCTTCAGGTTTCTGAGGAATCTCCAGACTGACTTCCATAGTGGTTTGACCAGTTTGCATTCCCACCAACAGTGGGTTAGTGTCCCTTTTTCCCCACATCCTCGCCAGCATCTGTTGTTGGTAGATTTCTGAATGTGAGCCATTCTAACTGGGGTGAGGTGAAACCTCATTGTGGTTTTGATTTGCATTTCCCTGATTACTAATGACCTTGAACATTTTTTCATGTGCCTGTTGGCCATTTGGATTTCCTCTTTTGAAAAATGTCTATTGAGGTCCTTGGCCCATCTCTTAATTGGGTTGTTGGTTTTGTTTTTGTGGAGTTTCTTGATCTCTTTGTAGATTCTGGTTATTAACCCTTTATCTGTTGCATAGTTTGCAAATATTTTTTCCCATTCTGTCGGTTGTCTCTTCACTCTCCTGACTGTTTCTTTAGCAGTACAGAAACTTCTCAATTTGATGCAATCCCAATAATTGATTTTGGCTTTGACTGCCTGTGCCTCCCGGGTCTTTCCCAGAAATTCTTTGCCTGTGCCAATATCTTGAAGGGTTTCTCCAATGTTCTCTAGTAACTTGATGGTGTCAGGTCGTAGATTTAGGTCTTTAATCCATGTTGAGTGGATTTTTGTGTAAGGTGTAAGGTAGGGGTCTTGCTTCATGATTCTGCACGTGGAAATCCAGTTTTCCCAGCACCATTTATTGAATAGACTGTCCTTGCTCCAGGAATTGGTTTTAGATCCTTGATCAAATATAAGTTGGCTGTAGATGTTTGGGTTGATTTCTGGTGTTTCAATTCTGTTCCATTGGTCTATCCATCTGTTTCTGTACCAGTACCATGCTGTTTTGATTACCACTGCCCTGTAGTATGTCCTGAAATCTGGTATTGTGATGCCTCCGGCTTTGTTTTTGTTGTACAAGATTGCTTTAGCTATTCGAGGTCTCTTGTGCCTCCATATAAATTTCAGCACCAATTTTTCCAGATCTGAGAAGAAGGTCTTCGGTATCTTGATTGGTATTGCATTGAATTTATAAATTGCTTTTGGGAGAATGGACATTTTGATGATATTGATTCTTCCAATCCATGAGCATGGAAGATTTTTCCATTTCTTGGTATCCTCTTCTATTTCTTTCTTTAAGGTTTTGTAATTTTCATCGTAGGGATCCTTAACGTCCTTGGTTAAGTTTATTCCAAGGTATTTGATTGTTTTTGTAGCTATTGTGAATTAGATTGATCTTAGAAGTTCTTCCTCAGCCATGGCATTGTCTGTGTATACAAAGGCTGTTGATTTTTGTGCATTGATTTTATACCCTGCTACTTTGCCAAACTCTTCTATGAGTTCCAATAGTCTCTTAGTAGAGTTCTTTGGGTCTGCTAAATAAAGAATCATGTCATCTGCAAAGAGGGATAGTTTGAGTTCTTCCTTCCCAATTTGTATCCCTTTAATTTCTTTTTCTTGCCTAATAGCTCTGGCTAGAACCTCCAGAACTATATTGAATAGCAGTGGTGAGAGTGGACATCCCTGTCTGGTACCAGATCTCAGTGGAAATGCTTCCAACTTTTCCCCATTCAATAGGATGTTGGCTGTGGGTTTTTCATAGATTGCTTTGATTGTATTGAGGAATGTTCCTTCCAAACCCAGTTTGCTTAGAGTTTTCATCATGAACGGGTGTTGTATTTTATCAAATGCTTTCTCGGCATCTATTGAGAGAATCATATGGTTTTTCTTCTGCAGTCTGTTAATGTGGTGTATCACATTGATTGTCTTGCGCACATTAAACCATCCCTGCATACCAGGGATAAATCCCACTTGGTCTGGGTGGATGATCTTTCTGATGTGTTGTTGCATTCTATTGGCGAGAATTTTATTGAGGATTTTTGCATCTATGTTCATCAGGGATATTGGTCTGTAATTCTCTTTCAGTGCTGCATCTTTTTCCGGCTTAGGAATTAAGGTGATGCTGGCTTCATAGAAAGAATTTGGGAGGATTCCCTCTTCTTCGATTGTTCTGAATAGTTTGAGAAGAATTGGAGTTAGTTCTTCTTTAAATGTCTGGTAGAATTCAGCAGTGAATCCATCTGGTCCTGGGCTTTTCTTTGTTGGGAGGGCCTTTATTACTGTTTCAATTTCTGTCTCAGTTATGGGTCTGTTTAGGTTTTCGATGTCTTCCTGGTTCAATTTAGGTAGGTTGCATGTGTCCAGGAATCTATCCATTTCTGATAGGTTTCCCTGTTTGCTGGCATACAAGTCCTTGTAGTAATTTCTGATGATTCTTTTTATTTCTGTGGTGTCTGTTGTTACGTTTCCTTTTTCATCTCTGATTTTATTGATTTGGGTCTTTTCTCTTCTTTTTTTAGTTAGTTGGGCCAATGGGGTGTCAATTTTGTTTATTTTTTCAAAAAACCAGCTCCTCGTTTGGCTGATTTTTTGTAATGTTTTTTTGGATTCAATCCTGTTGATTTCTTCTCTGATTTTAATTATTTCTCTTCTACTGGATTTGGGTCTGGTTTGCTGCAGATTTTCTAGATCCTTGAGATGAATTGAAAGCTCATCTATTTGGTGCCTTTCCAATTTCTTGATGTAGGCACCTGTTGATATAAACTTTCCTCTTAACACTGATTTTGCTGCATCCCATAAGTTTTGATATGTTGTGCTGTTATCCTCATTTACTTCCAGAAAATTTTTGATTTCTCTTTTAATTTCTTCTATGACCCATTGCTCATTCAGGAGCATGTTGTTCAATCTCCATGTGTTTGCGTATGCTCTAGGGATTCCTGAGTTGCTAATTTCCAGCTTCATTCCTCTATGGTCTGAGAAGCTGCATGGTATTCTAATTCTTTTGAATTTGCTCAGACTTGCTTTATGGCCTAGTATGTGGTTAATGCTAGAGTAGGTTCCATGCACTGCTGAGAAAAATGTAAAATCTTTAAATATAGGATTGAAAGTTCTGTAGATATGTATTAGATACATTTGGGCTATAGTGTTGATTAAACCTGCTGTTTCCTTGTTGATCTTCTGTCTGGTTGATCTGTCCATTTCTGAGAGAAGAGCATTTATGTCCCCCAGTACAATTGTATTAGATTTTTACCATGTCCTCTTAATGAAAGCCCAGT